ATCCCTCGCTCTGGGGAGGAGCGAGACCCCATGTCCATCTGTCCTGCCCACAGTACGCCATTGTCTTCCGCACACCCCCCTACCACAAGCCCAAGATCGACCGCCCGGTCACCGTGTTCCTGCAGCTGAAGCGGAAGCGGGGAGGGGACGTGAGTGACTCCAAGCAGTTCACCTACTACCCCGTGGTGGAAGGTGAGCACCCCCCAGGCAAGCCAGCGTGCCCCCCACCGCCGGGGCTGCCCCTTACCCTGCTGCCCCTCTCTTCACAGATAAGGAAGAAGTGGAGAGGAAGCGCAAGAAAGTCCTACCTCAGTTTCCCCAGCACTTTGGTGGGGGCTCGCACATGGGGGGTGCTGGCGGTGGGGCCGGGGGCTTTGGCTCTGGAGGAGGTGAGTGGGGATATCTCTTCCCTTTCCTTGCTTGTGTGGCTGTAGCCCAGCCCTGGGGGCTCCCTGCTCCTCTCCAGCCTCACCTATCCTTCCCCTTGCTCCATAGGCGGGAACCTCAGCTTCCCCTACTCCCCGGGGCTGGCCTACAACAGCATCTACTCACCTGGCCCCCACCCCGTGGGGGGCTACCAGGGGGGTGTGCAGATGAAGGGCCCTGAGGCAGAGGGGCCTGGGAGCAACGGGCAGGTGCCTGCAGAGAGCACACACTGCAAGGAGCTGCAGAAGCACGGTAGGAGGAGGCTGGGGTGCAGTGAGGGCTGGGGGACATGGCTCATGAGAGGTGGCTTGGGTCAGGGACATCAGTCTCCTCCATGCCCTGGGGTGATGCAGGAGGGTAGAGGTGGGTGCTGCTCCTGGAGGTGATGTTCTTGTCCTGCTTTCCCCCCCAGCCCAGCTCTGCCAGCTGTGGATGCTGGCACTGGCCCGTCGCAATGCCCATGCCCTGCTTGACTACTCGGTCACCGCTGACCCCCGTGTGCTGCTGGCAGTCCAGAGGCACCTGGCTGCATCACAGGATGAGAACGGAGACACGTGAGCACATAAGGGGTTTGGGGAGAGAGTGTTAGAGCCTTGTTGGCCATTAGAGCCATTATGGGGGCTGTGGGAGGTAGCAGGAAGGACCTGTAGAAGCATGGAGCTCAGCCAGGGGACATCCTGCTCTCTTTGCAGGCCTTTGCACCTTGCTATTATCCATGAGCAGACAGCTGTGATCAAGCAGCTGATTGAGGTTGTTGTTAGCATACCGAGCCTGGATATCATCAACATCTCCAACAACCTGCAGCAGGTACATGTTTCCCAGAGCAGCCAGTTCTCTACCTGGGGCTCACTCCCAGTTCAACACCCTGTCCTGCTTCTGCTCTCACTGAAGGGAGGCTGCAGAGCTGAGCACAGTGCAGCCATGGTGGTGAGGACCTTAGTGCAGGACTCAGCCCCTCTTGTGAGCGATACTGAGGGGTGCTGCTCTCCCACAGACACCACTGCATCTGGCAGTCGTCACCAAGCAGCCCCAGGTGGTCCAGCTCCTCCTGCAAGCCCATGCTGACCCCACCTTGCTGGACCGCTACGGCAACTCCCTGCTGCACTTGGCACTCCAGACTGGTGATGAGGAGGTGCTGAGGACACTTCTGGCCCACCTGGGCTCCGCTGCCCCTTACCTGCTCCGTCTGCCCAATTTCCATGGTGAGTGGGGCTTGGAGATGATGGGCAGAAGCCTGGAAGTGCTGTTGTGGGCTCGGCTGGGGACCTGCTGAGCCTCTGCCCCTGTTGCAGGCCTCCTCCCTGTGCACTTGGCTGTGAAGGCAAAGAGTCTGTCCTGCCTGGACCTGCTGGTCAGGAAGGGAGCGGATGTGAACGCCGTGGAGAGGCAGGGTGGGAGAACCCCCCTGCACCTGGCTGTGGAGATGGAGAACCTCAACATGGCCACCCACCTGGTGAAGAAGGTATGGGGCTGGTAGGCTGGTGGCTGTGGGACAGGGATGAGGTGCAGCGTCCTGCAGGGCCCTGGCAGAAGTGGGGGGTGTGCCCTGGTATCTTGGGGTGACATGGGCAGCAGGGCACAGCGCTCAGGCAGCCCGTGCTCAGGACCTTGCACCTCCATAGCTGGGAGCAGATGTCAACAGAAGGACTTTTGCCGGGAACACCCCTCTGCACCTGGCTGCCGGCCTGGGCTCCCCCACCCTCACCAAGCTGCTCCTCAAAGCTGGTAAGGCGCTGCCCTCCCTCCTCTCCCCACACCACAGGGTGCCCGGGCACAGGGCAGGCCCCTGGGCCTTCCTGCCCTGCTGGGGGCTCAGCCCACCCTTCCCTGACAGGGGCAGATGTGCTGTGTGAGAACGACGAGCCCGTGAGCCCGTCCTCATCAGAGGCCAGCAGCGACACGGACGCCGACTCCGAGGAGCAGGAGCAAGAGCAGGCCATGGAGCTGGGGGAGCTGCCCCCAGCCGTGGAGCACAGCACCAACCCCGAGCCCCCTGTGCAGGGTCACGGGCAGGCAGGGCACAGGCTGCGCCGCTGCCACGCACCCCTGGACCTCACTCGGAGCCAGAAGGTGTGTGGCATGGTGGGACAAACCCCCAGGAGCGTTTATGTGGGGCCAAGAGGACAAAGATGCTCCTGGGAGGATACCTGCGCCCTTCCATGTCCTGGGGAGTGGTGTGGTGTGGGAAGGCAAGAGCGGATTGTTTGGTGTGTCGGGGATGCTGACATCTGTCTGCCTGTCCACAGGTGCGGGAGATCCTGCTGCAGGCCTCCCAGCAGAGCCCCAAGGCGGAGCTGCCCACTGCGCCCCAGCCAGGTGAGCAGCCCCTCTCCCCCTAAAAGCACTGTTCCTAGGCAGGGCAGCGAGAACGGGCAGCCTGTGATGAAGGAACCTCTCCTGCACAGGGAAGGTGCTGTCGCTGGACAGTGAGGCGCTGCAGGGGCTGGAGCAGCTGCTGAACCAGGACTGCAGCGGGTCAGATTGGATCGAGCTGGCCAAGCGCCTTGGGCTCTGCAGCCTGGTGGAGACTTACAAGGACACCCCCTCTCCCAGCGTCAGCCTCCTGCGCAGTTACGAGGTCAGTGCCTGAGCAGGGTGCCTCTGTCCCTCCTCTCTGTCTGCCCACCGGCCCTACTCTGCCTTCTTTCCGCAGCTGGCGGGGGGCAGCCTGGGGGGGCTGCTGGAGGCGCTGGACTCCATGGGGCTCCGCAAGGCTGTGAGGATGCTGCACAAAACTGAGGCACTGGAGAAGTTGCACAGCACAGGTAAGGGGAGCGCAGGGCTGGGGGGGGGGTCCACGCTGCCTCCAACTCCCCATTGCTGACAGCGCCTGGGGTTTGCTTTGCAGAGCTGAAGGAAGACAGTGCCTATGGCAGCGAGTCGGTGGAGGAGGAGCAGGCACCCACACTGGCCCTGAAGCCGGGGGGCGAGCTGCCCCACAGCCAGCAACCACAGGTGCACTGAGGGGCCAGCAGCCACTGCACCCACCCGGGGGTCTGCATCGCTCCCCCCCTCCCAGACCTGCCACCACAAGTGCCTTCTGGACTTGCCCGGACTCAGGGGGCAGGACACAGCTGGCTCAGGACACAGCTGGCTCCTGCCCCTCTCTGCTCTTATTTAATGGTCCCTCTTCTGAATAAAGGGACGCTGTTTCCATTAGCCTGTGCCCTCCCTCTCTCCAGCCCCGGCCCTGAGCCCATGGGCACTAACCCCTGGCAGCAAGGAGGCTGACTCCTTACCATCACTCCATGCCGGGGCTGTCCCAGGACATGGGGGAGAAACCACAGTGCACACAAGAAGTGAAGAGCAAGTTTTACTGAAGTAACTGAGAGAAGAAGCTGTACAAAGGATTTTCTCCCCCTTGAGCCGCCTGGGGCAAGGGTGGATTTTTTTCCTTTTTCTTGTTATTTTTTCCTTTTTTTTAATTTTTTTTTTTTTATTTTTTTTGCAATAGACTTAAAAGAGCAGAATAAAAAGTTTGACACATTCGCAAAGTCAGTGCTGAAACCAGCCGGGTCCTGGGTGGCCGAGAACAGTGTGTATGTGCCAGCCCCCTGCCCGCAGCCCTTCCACTGTCCCCAGATCCCTCCCCGCACACCCCAGGCACTCCTGCGGCCATGCTGCACCATCAGCACCTTGCTCCAGCCAAGCATCCTCCAGCCCCTGGGATGCTGCGGGCTGCCCCAGCCTGCCCTCACCTTGGCAAGGAGGGAGCCCATGGCCAAGGAAGGGGCTGCACCACTGCTGCTGCAGCACGAGGACTGCACAATGCTGCAGACCAGGCTTTGCTGGCAGCCTCTGGGGCCCCAGCCATGCATTGGAGGAGCATCATGGCAAGGAAAGCTGGCTTGTGGGGACCCTCAAGTCAACCCTGGCCTCAGGGGCCACCTCCCGTGGGAGTGCTTACTTACACTGCTACCCAGTGTGCCCCAGGTACGATGCTCACACCCAGGTGGTACAAATGGGGCTGGTCCAGCTGCCAGGGCTTGGGGGGCGGGTCATGAAGCACGGGAGCATCAGCCTCCCATGCAGCCACAAGTGCAACAATGGGTGCTGCCATCCCAAGGCTGCCAGCAACTGCAAGGCTATCTCCAAGGGGTCGCTGGTTGCCAAAGCAGGGCTGGGGAGCAGGCTGCAACACACAGGTACCCATGCTCACCTTGCTGCAGGACGGGGAGCTGGGCCTCCCCCTGAGTCCATGTAAAAACCTCCTGCCCCCCAGAATGCAGTGCCTACAGGACATGGCTGGGTTTGTGGCTTGTTTGTTTTTTTTTTTTTCAAATAGTTCCCCAAAAGCATCAAAAGTAGCCCCCCAAAAACCCCTCCCTGGTGGTCAGCTCAGTCTGGTACTAAAAAGTGCAAAACTGTATCACAAAAATCAGTCAAAAGTTGTAAGAAAGCGGGGAGGGTGCAGAGGTGGCAGGGAGGGGGCCAGGTGCCACTGCCCTGGTGCCCCTGGCCACCAGCCCCATGAGAGGGGAGAGGCCACAGCTGGCCCCTTCCTGCCTGCCCCCCATGGCACAATGGGGCTGGAGGAGAAGTGGCCGTTGGCTTTGTTTTGCTGCATTTTGGACTTCTTAAACCACTGAAGATTTGAGCCCAGTGGGTGGGTTTCAGTTGGTCCCCGTCATCGGCGTGAGCTCCTGCAGCCACGCACAGGACAAGGAGGGGCAGGAACGAGTCTGATGGGGCTGAGAGAGTGGGCAGCTCCTGCGGGCGGGCGAGGACCAGGGACTGTCCTGCTCTGCCACCACCTCTGGCGGAGGCCCTGCATGGCTGGTGCCTGCCTGGCACACAGCCCAGATGGACGGCTCATGCAGGATCTTGGCAGGCACGCGGCCTCCACCCCGGTACCGGGGGGCAGAAACGGAGCTGCAGCGCAGGTGGCCGATGCCCCTCACTTATGACTTCTGGGGGTGGCCGGGGGGCTGGCGGCCGGTGCGCTCTGAGACGTTGCGCTTCACCTTGGTGGCCGTGCTGGAGGGCTCCACGTTGAGCGAGGGGCTGGAGTGGGACTTTTTCAGAGCATCATCCTCCCCGCCCGCGGCATCGAAGAGCGTGGACTCAAACGCTGCCAGGTCCTCGGAGCCGGCCTTCAGCTTGGCCCGCAGCAGCATGGCATAGGTGCCGTAGCGGGATTTCTGGGGGCACAGCGCAGCAGGGAAAGGGGTTGGGAAGCTGGGCACTGCCCCTCAGCCAGCACCCCAGCATAGCGAGGGGATACTTGTACTCCCTCCGCACCAGCCAGCATTCCAGGGCAGGGGGGATGCTCATGGTCCTGGACCACAGCAGTGGCATGGTGCAATTCAGCACGTGGGGATGGGGGAGAGAGCCCCATCACTCAGGATGGCCAAGCAGACAGGGACAGAGGGGCTGAGGGTGGTGGGATATGTGTGTGTGCGTCTCCAGCTCACCTCAAACTCCAGGTACTCTTCCTTCTGCTTCAACTCCTCATACTCCTTGCCCTTCACCTTCTTCTCAGGTAGTGAGGAACGATGCTCCAGCAGCTCTGCTGACATCGTCTTGAACTTGGTCTCATGGCTCTTCACCTGCTCTTCCTGGGGAAGGGTGGCACCATGTCAGTGCCCTGCTTCTGCCCTCTGCTCTTCCCCCATTCTGGCAGTGTGAACAGCCAGGACCAGAACAGGTTTTTCCCCTCCTAGGTGCAGCCAGGATCTCAGCCTCTGCTCCTGGGTTGGGTTTTGTTCTATTTTCTTTTGTTAAGGGCAGGCAAAAGCACAGGCCCTTGGGTGCAATCTGCTCCTGCCTCGCTGGGGGGCTGGCTGCAGTCTTAAAGCAGAAGAATTTAATCCTCTCTAAAACTAGGCTGGTGTTTTTAATCCTTTCTGCTCTATGAATAACTGCCCTGGCACGCGCGAGTGCCAGCTAATCCCCCAGCCTCTCAAGGTCCCGGTCCTGGCAGGACCCTGCGAGCTGTGTTGTGGGACCACGTTCTCCTCCACAGCCTGACTCCTTTGCCTGTCTCCCATCCCTGCTGCCAGGAATAAGACCTTGCCACCCCCAACAAACTCAGCACCCCCTTGCTCTGTGTCTCCATGCCATGCTCCCTCAGCCCTGCACCCTGCTGAGAGGCAGCTGGGCAAGAGGCACCGTACGGGTCCCTCTGCAGGGGACAGCACCAGCAGCAGACCCAGGGGGCTTGCCCCATACTCCTGGCTGCCCTCACCCGATGGCTCACCTGGGACAGTCTGGTGCAGGAGCTGGGCAGCAGCGGCCGGCTAAACTTCTTCTGGGAGCCGATGGCTGCGGGGAAGGGGGGTGCAGAGAACATGGCTGCCACCACATTGATGCGTGTGATCCACGAGTGCATCTGTTCAGGGTTCCTGGGAACAAAGGCCAAAGCACAACGAGCTCTAGGTGACACCATCTATGTCACAGGCAGATGGAGCTGCCTTGCATAAGATCCGTGCCCCCCAGTTCTGGCCCTTGGCCAGCCATAGCACCTGGGGTTCTGCCCGCAGTGACTTGGGCCATCATGAGCGCATTGGGGTGGGAAGAAGAGGAGCTGAGCAAAGCACAGCACTGACAGTGGCTCCCTTTCCTTCTAGAAAGGGCCAGGTCAGGCCAGAGCAATGTGGCCCCAGTGTCAATCCCACCCACCCCTTCAGTCATATGAGCCCCTGTGCCCCAGCGTGTGGCCCAGCTGGTGATCCTGAGGGACTCACTGTGCTTGGAAGAGGAAGACCCTCCAGTCAGCTGTCCTGAGGTAGAACACATTGGGTCGCTTGCTGTAGTCAGATGCCCGCGTGGCAAGTGAATGATGGATGCTAATAGCGTTCTTCAGCTCCTCTTCTGCCAGAGCCTTCCCTGGCTTATACTCCTCCTGCGAATCACGGGGTGTTTCAGAGCCAGTTTAGGGAGGCACCCCACCATGAGCCAGCTCTGTGACACTGCAGGAATGGCAGGCAAGCACCTCCAGCAGACTGCTGTGAGCTCTGTCTGCAGCTCATGCTACACACATGCAGAGAGGCTGCACAATCCAGGTGCATGGGTTTGGCCACAGCATGGTGGCTGTTCCTCATAGCCCCCCAGCTGGGCAAGTTTGTGCCTGCATGAAACTGGATCTGCAGCACCACACGTTGCCCAGGGCAAAGACCCCAGTTCCTCCTCTATCCCCAGACAAGCCCCTGCACTCAGGGCCCTCAGCTGGCAGCTGCTGAGCCTGAGCACCCCTGGAACAGGGATGCCACTAGGTCCTGAGCAACAGCTCAGCCAGACAGTGTGGGGAATCTGCTTAGGCCAGGCTCTGCAATGCCAGGCACTGAAGCCCCTCTCTTGCTGCTGTGGAAACTGCCATGACCTCCCTCCTGGGTTGGGGATGATCCTTCTCCTGGCATGGATGTGGGCAGCCCTGCTGCGACCTACCTTCTGCAGGTAGAGAATCATCCCCTTCAGGATGGCATGGAAGGACTTCCAGCCGCGCTTCCCTCGAGGTGCTGCCGGGGACAAGAGAAGAGAGCAGTGCATACATCAGCCCCAGCACCCGGTGGGGGGGAGGCACCCCCATCCCCACCCTCCTCCAGCCAGCCCTGCCACAACACACATCACCCACCCCGGGGATGGGCGGCACGCCAGGACTGTCCCGGCACACCTGAGCCCGTGCGGGCCGCGGGCCTGGCAGATGGTGCTGCTGCAGGGGGGCTGCCTGCTGCCTGCTCCCGGGGCTGCACCGCTGTGCTCCTGCTGAGCCGCTGCCCCCCGCTGCCTCCCCGCTCGGGGATGAGGTGCTGCCACCCACCAGGTAATGCTGGCTTTGGAGGGAGGCTGCATCTAATCAGATCAAGGCAGCATTAGATGGACAGGGCTTACGAAGGGATTTTATGGTAGAAACTGTGAACGTGCCTGGCAGCGCCCAACCCACTGTGCAGCTTGTCCATCACACCACAGGGCACCTTCCTTTGTCCCTGCTGTCCTGTGGGAAGGGTACATCTCCTGGGGGGCCCAACCCACCTCCCTGCCTGACTCCTTTCCAGCACTGCATGCAGGGGCTGTGCTGCCATCTCAGCCTCTGCCCATCCCTGAAGACTGGCACGGAGAGGTTTTGAGTGTCCACAACCTGGGGACTGAATTATGTTCAGCACAGCCAGCCAGCCATGGCACAGGGAGATGATGCTGCAGACTGGCATGATGCTACAGTCAGACATCATGTAGTGACTCCTGCTCTGCTCCCTGTATTATTTCTAGAACCCACTGGTGCCCTCTCGCCCAGAGTTCCTCCTATGGGATCCCCAGGTACCTACTTTTCTTGCAGTCAGGATCAGCGTGGATCTTGCGCACTAACAGACCATGCTTGTAGGTAGCAATGCTGGAGTCTTGGGAGAAGTCCAGAAAGGGGTTACTGCAGCTGCTGATGCGCTTGATGGACTTCGGGTTGGGATCTGCCAGCTCTGAGAGGGACTTTCTCAGCTCCTCTTCATCTCTGCCAGGCACAGATTTGGGTGGGGAAAGAGTTCATTACCTTGCTGGGGACAGCAAATACCAAGTTTCCCATTTTCCAGTGCCGCCTGTAGGCCCAGTTTCTGAAAGGGAGGCCAGAAGCAGCAGACCAGGCTGAGCAGTCTCCCATCACCATTGGCAAGCATCCCATAACCAGCCATGCCTCTGTGTCCTGTCCCTCTAGTCAGCTGTGGTGCTGCCTGACCCCTCAAAACACAAGACATGGCAGTATCTGCTGCAGGTTCAGGGTGGTCCTGCCTGTCCCAAGGAGCAAGGAGCCAGGGGCCATGGTGGAACAGCACCCTGGGGCTTGACACTACAATAGCCCCCTGGTCCATGGTGTATGGGCATGCAGGTCCCCAGCTGGCATGAGTGAGGGCCTAGAAAGGACACCCACCCCCCAGGAGAGACTCAGGCTGTGGTCTGAACGCCTTCAGGGCAGCAGCTGGGCTATGGGGCTGAGAGCTACCAGTAAAGGGGTGCGGGGAGCCTGTGGTGGGAGGCCTGGGACAGCACCGCCCGGGGCAGGGGCATGTGTGGGCAGGACGCAGGCAGCCCCGGCACCAGGAGGCAGCTCCCTCCTTCCAGGTCACGGCCCCTGGCGCTGCGGGCAGGCTGCATCGGTGCTGCTCCCCCCGCCCGGCAGGAAGATGTGGGAGCCCAGAGCTGCTGCCTCCCCCTCCCTCAGACCCGCTGCTGCTAATTAAACCCCTCAGCATCTGCCGGCGTCGCCATGGCAGCAGCCCGAGCGCATTGGCTCAGTGCTGGCGGCACCGCCGGGCTGATTAATCCCCGCAGCGCGGGCGCTGCCGCTCCTGCTGCTGGAGATGGCAGCTGTGGGCGAGGGTGCGGGCACCCCGGGGGGCCCCGGCACAGCCACGGCCCCCAGAGCCCGGCCGCTGACAACCTGGACACGGCCGCCGAACCAAGGAGCAACGCCAAAGCCGTGGGGAGCTGGGCTCAGGCTGCCTCCCGCAGCATGCCAGGGAAGGGGTCCCCACGGAGGTGCCAAGGGCAGGCAGGGTGCATTCCCTGCATCCCCAGAACATCCCGATGTCCCTGTCCTTCCCACGTCCTCACAGGAGCACTTGCTCTGCAGCATCGCAGCTGATGAGGGCTTTTGGGGCAGGGTAATGCTCTGAAGGGAGCACGGCAGGAGAGAGGAAACCCCTGCACCAGCAGGATGGCCCTGCTGTCCACCTCGGCTGGGCAGCAGCATCTCCCAGAGGGGTACTCACATGGCCCACTGCAGCTTCTCATTCTTGATGGAGCCGTACAGTGTCTGCAAAGGAAAGAAGAGGGGGTCAGCAAGAGAGTGGTGCCAGCTCCCAGGGGTTGCTTCGGGGCATAGAGGGGGCATAACAGGCAAACTCAGGGGTGCTGGAGGTTAAGGCAACCCCAGGTCATTTTGTTCTGGGCAAGTCGGCTGGGCTTGCCCTGGCTGGGCAAGTCAGCTGACCTTGTTTCAGGGCTATAGGCTTACACGTTCTCCTGGGCAACACAGGACCCACAACCCTACACACAGCCCAGGCACAGCACTGGGGACAGCCCTGGCTGTCTCCACCCCCTCCCCTCCCTCTCTACCTGCCTGTGATGGATGCACAGCATTAGCAGCATGATGGCGAGGTATACCAAACATCTCCAGTCCTTGGGATGGCCCCTTCTCCTTGCTCCAAGGTGTCCCAAGCTGCCAATGCACAGATTTCAGGAGGCCTGAGCCCCAGGACAGCAAGCCCTCTGGATGGATTTTGATGGTGCCTGCCCACATCCTGCTTGGCAGGACTTCAGGCTGCTCCAGGGCCTCTAGCAGCTCCATGCCACAACATCCCACAGCCAACAACCTCCCTGCAATCAGCTACATGTCCTGGGCTGGCAGAGACAGCTCATGGCAGCACCCAGTGCTCTGCAGCAATGCAATGTTCCCATTGGAGCACACTTAGGCTTCAGGAGACTTCAACATGGCACTGGCCCTGGACTTGAAGAGACACCAGCATGCTGTCTTTCATGAGGCCCTCAGAGGAACTTGTGCTGATCAAGGCAGGGTGGGTATTTGCCTACAGCTGGGTGGCTGCTGCTTGGGGTGGCTGTGGCCTGTCCCTACCCTCTTCCCCTGTACCCCCAAGCACCCTGCGCTCCCTGGGGATCCAAGCACCATGAAGGCAGGAATTGCTGCCTGCATCTCAGCAGAGCAACAAGCTAATCCTGTGCACGAGACGCTCCAGGGCCCCACTCCCAAGCGTTTGTCCGGTCTGAGCTGGGCGCAAGCCAGAAGCACTCAGCAAGGCTCTGCAGCTGGGGAGGCTCTGGAGAGGGTTTCGACACAGTGCTCACAGAGGGCTTCGGAGTGAGATCTGGAAGGCATCATCCTTGGAGGAAAATAATCGAGTCTCGCACAGGCTGTTCAGGCAGCTGTCAACATCCATCACTGGACCAGAGACTGCTGAGAGATCTTACTGGTGGCTGAGAAAGCACAACTGGAGGCGTGCAGGGGCGTGGGGAAGCCGTCCAGCAGACAGGCCGCAGCAGTGTCTGTGGAAGGGACATCGATCACTCCCCCGAGAGGCACAGCAGCCAGGACGGAGTGGGGACCAGCTCCTCCTGCACTTCCCTGTCAGGAAACGCTGGCATAGCACCAGCTTGCTTTCCCCCTCTTGTTCCTCAGAGGAGGAAAGGGGTCGTTGTGATCTAGCAGGTGGGAAGCAGAGTTCAGTTGTCTGCTGGGAAGACAGGAGGCTTACAGAAGGGGTACGGCCTCAGGACCTGAGAGAAGATTAGACCTCAGTCCCATTCACACAGTCCTGGTGCTGGAGGGGCAGAAAGCTGAGGTGTGAGGAGGCAGAAGCCAGTGGGGCAGGCAGGGGCATGGACTGCAAAAAGACCTAGAAAAGAGCCTGAGGGAAAAAAAAGCCAATCCAGAGTCCTGCCAAACATAACCTGGGAGCAGAGCAGGGGGAGAAGCAGGCATCTCAGAGCAGCGTAGATGATAAGGAGTCACCACGGGAAACAGAAGGGATCTTACTCACTGCCAAGAATGCAGCCGAAAGATGCTGAGAACAAACAGACACAAAAAGAAGGCTGAAAAACCAGCACACAGAAGTGGGGACTGGGAACAGCAGAAAAGCTCCTCGGAAAGAGCAGGCAGAACAGGACATGTGGCTTGGCTCAGTAGTGACACAGAGAGGGGTCAGCTCCCTTTCCCCAAGGAAGGGAGACGTGAGCCAGCTGAGCAGAGATTTTGGAGGCCAAGGTGAGGTGCTGCACTGGCAGGGACCATGGCCCCCAGCCCTACCGTAGGGCTTGCGGGAGGATGCTGCTAAACACCAAGTGATGAGCTGATGTCAGAAGATGCTCAGGCAATTATTCTGGATGGCACAGTGCCGGAGAACAGCCCAGCAGAGCACCTTGCTACAAAAACCTGGCCCTGGGACTGCCAGCGAACACTTCAAAGGCTGAACTGCTTTGTGGCTTCAAAAGGCTGGAGCTGCCCTGCTACGGGCCCTGACAGCATCACGTAAGCCCACTGTGGGCAGAGCTGCTAAGTACCCCCACCTCAGAGATGGGGAGCACAGGCTGCTCAGCTCCAGTACAGGGGGACAGTGAGAGGCAAATAGGGGGACTGAGGGGATTGAGAGGGCAATGCAGAGCTTTACGTCTACACTTACAGCCTGCCAAGACTCTGCTTGGCTAAATGCCACCCCCAGCCAACACCACTCTCAGGAACAAAGCTGTTGGACTCAGCCACAAAGTCTATCCTGCTTTTCTGATTCAGTGGTAGTACCGCTGTCCATCAGTCCACTGAAGTCTGGGTTCTTCGGTGCACTGACTGTTTCTGCTGGGGAACCACAGGCAGTGCAGGCTCCTGAAGCCTAACACAACCATGTCAGCAGAGAGTAGGGTCACCAGTTTCACCACCCAGCAGACCCCTCTCTCCAGGCTGTGTTTGCTCCATGAATTCACTCCCCCTGAGCCAAAAGGACAGCACCTCTTGGCACCTCTGAACTTGCAAGCACCCAAGAGGAAGTAGGGTGCTGGCCGCATGCCACCATGGCCGACCCCAAGCATGGCTGGGGTTTTTTTGTCATGGCTGGGTTATGAGCTCACTGCTGCAGCACGCGGGGACAGCCAGCCAGCTCTGCCCTACACATGCACAACACTGAAGAGACCTAGGAATATACTGTCCCAGTGGGATTTCTCACTGAATCAACAACATCTCTCTTTGGTGCCCTTCCTCCTAAAAGCAGGCTGAGAGGACGTCCCCGAGTCCTCTAGCAAACATCCTACTCCAATAAACGTTTCCAGGGAAGAGTGGGGGGCTGCACTGGGCAAGAGGCAGGTGGCTCTGATGCTCCAGACTTAGCACCAATCCTGCTTATAACAGTCCTGCACAAGTGGGAAGGTGGAAAACATTCCCCTTCAGCCCCTCAGCTCAGAGCAGATCAGAACTGGGTCTGGGGAGATGGGCAGCAAGCTAGCCTGAATGCAGCCTTGGTACGGGCTGCACGGAGGGCTGTAGCCCAGCACTTAAGTAGCAGAGAAGGGTTAAGGCAGGAATTTAGGCATCTGACAGTTTTAACCCTTTCTGGGGTGCATCTTTTATGTATCATAACTGTTATGGATAGACAGGTCCCCTTTCCATTCTTCTGGTTCCTGCATTAAACAACACAGTGCCCAGCTCTCAGCACTGCAAGATGCCCTGTGCAGGTCAAGGCTCCCCTTCCTCCTGTGATGGCCCTGTGACCAGCCGTGGCTCTGTGACATTCTGCTAGACAGACTTCACAGCCACCAAGCATCCTCCCTGCAGTCATTCTCCCTCTCTCCATGACTGGCAGCATTTCAAGACGAGAGCTCAATTGTTGGCTTTCCCCAACTTTTCATTAGCAAAATATCTTTCTCTACACCCAGCCACAAAGCTCTGTCAGGTCCCCCAGGCACCCAGACCCCCACAGCTGCGCAGATATGAATGGCATGGTCAGATCAGGGCTGTATGTCAGAGAGAACATACCTATGTCAGGTCCCTAATTCACCCTGGCAGACCCATCTGCACCTCCGCTGCCCAGCATGCATAACCCATTCTCAAGAACAACTCATCACCTGGCATGCACCAACCCTGCTGTGCACACCGTGTCCCCCTCCACTGCAGAGAGTCTCCTGAGTGCACACTGAGCAGAGCTGACCTGGGGACAGACTTTTTTAGCCGTAGGATGGGCTGTCAGAGGGACAATGTCCTGTGTCACTTTCCACTCTGCTGCAGGCAACAGCAGGAAGCGGGAGACGGCTACCCATCCCTGCCTCAGCAACATCACAAGCTGCACAAACATCTTTTAAAACATTCCTTGCTCAGCCAACTACCACCCCAAGGACAGTAAATCCCTCCATCCCTCCCAGCACAGCCCCACAGCGCGGGAAGCAACAACCAAGCATCTCCCAACTGCATGTTTCCATCTGAGTGCGTCACAACTTAATGCTGCCCCCAGACCGTACTGCGCTATGACAGCATCGCTGCTTGGCATGGCCCTGATGGCCCCACTGGGCTGGTCTGGACCACGGGGGCTGCCCAGGTGACGCTGGGGTCCCCCTGCCCGCTTTGCCCCAGCCTGCCTGCAACAGAGGGGCAGTTGATGACTCTTCTCTCTCTGTTACACTGGAGACGGACACCCGACCGAGGTAGGACGTGCCCAGAGAAAAGCCTGTTTGCTTCTCCCCACCTAGGACCGTTGCACACTAGCATAACACCTCCAAAACGGATACCGGCTCACAGCGAGCAAGCAATTGGCAGTAAAAAGCCCTTTTTTGTCCAGGCAGCCACTCCTTCCTCTCCAGCTCCGCTCGACAGGGAGCCTGTGCTGCCGCGCTGCCCCTCAGCGCTGCCTGCGGCTCTCCCCGCCGCCCCAGCGGGTGCGGGTCTGTCCCGGCTCAGCGCAGCCCTTGGCAGGGAGCCCGCAGAGCTTGTCACTTATGCTAAGCCGGAGGGCTGGTCCCAGCGGTACGGCTCTGTCCTGGATTCTTTTCGCAGCGATGTTTTTCAGCTAGCGCTGCCGTCAAACCACGGCGAGCGGCGCAATGTCACCCAGGTCTCGCCGCGCTCCCGCTACCCTCATGCTTGGGGTGGGATGGGAGGCGAATGGCAGGGCTGGACCCTCGGGCGGACGGGTGGCTGATGGGGACACGGGTCCGCAGAGAGCGGACAGGGGAGGGAGATGGGGCTCGCCGCTCGCTACATCCACGCCAGGGCTGAGGCTCGTGCAGCGGGCGGGCCGGCGGCTGTCCGGGCGTGTCTGTCCGTCTGCCCATCCATCCGCCCGTGTGCCCCCCGGGGCGCAGGGCGCTGCGCATCCCCCCCCGCGGCGCCCCCTGCTCCCCCGGCCCGCCGCTTACCGGCTTCTTCTTGCGGCGGCTCTGGAGGCGGCTGACCACCAGGTCGGTGTAGAGCACCGGCTTGAGGGTGCGGGAGCGCTGGGGCCAGCCGTAGCAGAAGGTCTCCACGCCGCGGTAGTTGCGCCCGTAGCGCACCGAGCACATGGAGCGGGACCGCATGCGCCCCGCGCTGCTATTGATGCTGTTGACGCCGATCATCCTGCCGGCGGCAGCGGGGAAAGTGGGGGTGCCCGGCGGCCCTGCCCGGCCCTGCCCTGCTTGCCGCGGCCCGCGTCGCCACCGCCGCCGCCTGTTGAAGCCGGGCCGGGCCGGGCAGGGCTCGGCGGCTGCTGCCCGACAGAGGCGGAGCCCGCCCCGCCCCGCCCGCTGCAGCCAATGGCGACCCGCGGCGCCCGGCAGAGCCGAGCCGAGCCGAGCCGAGCGGCGGAGATTGCGGCCAGCATCCCGCCCGGGGCGACACCATCCCCGGCGCTGATGCCACACGAGGTGCCTGAGCTGCTCCCGGTGCAGCAGCTGCCCGTCCCTGCCCCACTTCCGCCCCAGCACGGAGAATGGGAGCAGGGGGATGGACCCTCCCGGGTTCATGGGGCTGGGGGACAGCCGTGGTGACATCTCCTGTGCTCCAGCGGCCTGGCAGCACCTCCACTCTGTGCCAGCTGAGCAGGATGAGAGCTGCTACCGCAGCCCAGCCCACACCAGGGACCTCCAAGGGCTGAGCTGGTAGGAGAGAGGCCCAGTGGAGGTGTGACCAGACCTTCAATCTCTAGTGCCCATCCCACACTTAATCCTCCTGCCTGTCCCTCCTGCTCAGGCTAGAAAATGAGTGGCTGGAGACACCCAGCTGGTTAAGGGCAGGACACAGATGCTACAGGCAGCTCTCACTGTGAAGAAGCAAAAGGCTGGGCATCCTTGCAGAAGGCATGAGGATCGATGCGCAATTTAGTTAGGCTTGACTGAGTAGGAGACACGGCCAGTGGAGAAGGGGAAATTTTCCACTCTGTCCTAACTGCTTGGTGTAGTGATCATGGGCAAAACTTGTGAGGGAGGGGGCATGGGTGCCTGGCACATGGGCTGCCCCTGAAGACAGGGGAGCCACAGGAGCAGGGAGCATATCATTCCTAGGGGAAAGAGGGAAAACAAAAAAAGCCATAGCCCAGGGGATCCAACTGAGCAAGCGCTCCCGTGATTATAGCTCAGAGGTGGGAGCTGGGGCTTTCTTCCCACATTATAATCACTTACCCAGCACTCCGAGCGTCTGAGCCCCGCTGTTGTGCCTCTAAGCTGGAAGGTGGGGGCCCATCCTACCTTCCTCCCCCGGGGACCTGACTGCATTGTCAGTCTTAATTCATTAACATCTGTGAAATGCTCTGGGCTCCTAGGCTGGAAGGCAGAACAGATTTGGCTCACTCCTGCAATCACTTATCAGCACTGGGGAGAAATGGGGTCTGATTTGGCCATACTGCATTTCTGCCAGCCAGGAAAGCACAAGGTTGAGCTAAACCAGTAAGGAAGGTGGGGAAAAGCTAAGGCTCCATAAAGTGATCAGTCATGTAAAAATCAAATCCACACCTCAAATATAACGGACAACCAACAAGAGTGAGTGAAATCCCAGGGGGCCTGGGCTAAAAATCACACTGACAAGAGAAGAGCAATATCTCAAGAGCTAATCAAACTATCACCAGCCTCAGGACATCCTGCTTTGCCTCCTTCCTTGCTGCATGGGCAGCTGCCTTCATTTGGCCACAGGGGTTTGGGTCTAAGCCTGCAGACACAGGCATCTTTGGGCATGGGTTCTTGTATCTCCAGCATAGCTCCCTGCCCTAGTGGGAAGACACCTGAACTGGAGAGCCGGGCAGCCCTGCCTGCAGGGTACAAATCTCCAGGGGAGGTGTCAGAGCCAGAGGGAAGGAGCATTGCTTGTAAGGCATCACTGCCTTAGCTCACTGGAGTGCCGTGTAGGACACAGCAAAGCACAGCCAGTGAGGGGGACGTGGAGCTCAGCTGTGAAAGCATAAGCTTTCAAGTGTTTTCGTTTCTCCTGCACAAAACTGGGATTGTTTACACTTATTATCTAGTAGCAGATAAAGTTATCGTCTGACTCAAGCTGCCGCCCGCTCTCAGGCATTGTGCTGTGTTTGTCTTGGGTCTCCTAGAAGCCAGATATGAAGGTAGTGCCCAGGCTCCCTGTGGGTCTATTCTTGTTGCTGACCCCAGAGTCACAGGGGAATGGTGGCTTTGTGTCCCCACAGCCACCTAGGTCCTGCCCCAAGCTTTGGGAAGCTCCTGTGAAGCCTGCCAGCCCTTTCCCTCCCCTGCTGCCCTTAGGAAATGCGCGTGCTCCTGGAGCACTAAAATTAGCCAGCCAGCTGTGCTGCATGCTTGCACAGGAGCCTCAGTCCCCAGGCACGGCCTGCCAGCCGGGTCTGCTGAGGAGGCAGCCTCCTACCCTGGTAATGGGGCTAGCGCAGGCTGACACAGGGAGGGCAGCAGGGCAGCCTTCCCCATTTCTCTGCCCCCTGAACCTGAACAAGGACCAATGCACCAAGCAGCTGAAAGCAGCAAGCAGAAAGAAGAGAGGGTCTTCTCTGGCTTGAGCCTGGCCAAGGGGCAAAGGCTGCCCCGGAGAGGCACAGCCCCATCAGGCACGGTTCCTTGCCAGCTCCTTCCCCAGCGCAGGCCAACAGCACTTTCCCCATCTCACCCACCCCAGGAACCCGCTCCTCCTTGCATGAGCAGGGTCTCCCTAAAGCACAGTGGTGCTTCAGGTGAGGAGCTCAGCCTGCTCCACGCATGGCTCCTCACGTTGCCTCTCGCCCCCCTCCCCAGCACAGCTCCCGTACAGAGGCGGCTGAAAAGCAGTGGTGGGAAGCACCGCAGCTGCAGAGGGAACAGGCCATTTTTAGCAGAGCAACCTCCCTGCTGCTGGGCTGCGGGCACAGCTGTGTGAGACTGTGCTGCAGCGCTGCAGCTTCCCCCACTCCCTTACACACAGCAAAGGTCTTCACCTCTACCCATGAGGGAAAGCCTGTAGCTTCATGGCACTTCCTCACCAGCCTATCTCCCACTGGCTGGGATCTGATGGGATAATTTGATCTCACATCTTCAAACATCTGGTACTTTGGGGGGTGAAGTCTAATGGACGAGGCAGTACCTGAAGTGCAAATACTCGAGCATGGCATGCTGGGGGCTGCAAAGGGGGCATGCCGAAGAGCCTGAAGAGCTTGGATGATCCAGAGCACAGCAGGATTAGAGGGCAGGGGTTCAGGGTCCTCTTTTTGGATGTTTCTATTCCATTTTGAGTGCTTAAAGCTGTTTCTGGAGTTGGGTTTAAAATTAGAGGAGGTTTTTTCCCTGAGTAACTCCCTTTACTGGCAAAGCGTGGGCTGAGAGGGAGGACAGCCCTATTGAGAGCTGCTGGTAACCCCATAATGATGGGGCAAGCAACGCAACCAGGAACAGACCCACACAGGGAGCTCAGCTTGTCACCCTCTGTTGCTTTTTTTCCATCAGCTCTCTCCCCCTGACATGGCTCCGGCACCCTGTGGGAACCCATCTTCCACATCATGAGTAATTTGCCAACTGTAGTGCTTCACCAGCAGCAATGGTTTCTGCCCAGCAGATCCCATGGGAGCTATGCCTGTTCCCAGGGCCTGAGATGGAGAGACAGCAGCTCAGAAAACCCTCTCGAGGACAGGCTATGCAGGGAAGCACAGCAGCCCAAGGCTGGAGGTGCTTGCTGAATGCTGCCTGCACTCCCTGGCCAAGTGCCACAAGGAACTGGGCCAGGCAGGGAGAAGGCAGGACTCCCCCATTCACAACAGTGTGGCAAGTTGCCGGCTTCAGGGCTTTAACGGGGAGCCCACCTGCTCCATGGCCATGCCTTGCCCTTGTCACCAAACACATTCCCTCTGCCACCAGAGATGGTTTCAGTCCCAGGGCCTGGCCACAGCCTTGGGCTCCAGTGCTCCAGAGAGGCTGAGTACCATGGGGTCAACACCACAGAGATGCTTGTTGGAGCTGGGGAAACCAACCCTAGGAAGCTGCCCCTAACACATGCCCCTTTGCCTGTGATGCAGGCACAGCAAGATCAGTGAGGGAATCAGGACTCCAGCTGGAGCTCCAGCATCCTCCTGGGGGAATGGGACAGCCCATGTTCTCCTCAGCAAGACAGGAAGAAAACTGCAGGCCAAGGGATCACCACCATTCCTGTACGGGTATGAACACATTCATTTGTGCCCCAGGTAACCATCCACATGATCCTGCCCAAAGCTCTCACTTTTGCTCCTGCTGCTTGTCTGGCCAGAGAGAGAGACTGAATTTACCTTGAGCAGCTCCTTGGGGAAGTCAGTGCCTCCGTTGAGTCCCTCCAAGTTGCCAATGAAGTCAGAGCAGGACATCCTCTTTCCAATATTCTGGGGGAGCCACGGGGAGAGAAACGTGGGGGTTATCTTTGGGCCAGGGGCCAGTGCTGGCTGGAAGAGGTCCCACAGCCCAGGAACAGACCCCCTATCTCTGCAGCGGGTTGAGGGCCCAGCCAGGTCTCAGGGAGGCTGCTTGCAGGAGGTGGTGAAGCTGCTGGCTTTGCCTTGACTCACAGAGTTTTAAATAGCTTTTGTCTAATTTGGGTGCCACCCGCTCGCGACGGCAGCTGGCTTTGGAGTCTCACTCCCGCTTTCTCTCCCTGTCCACTTTATTCTTCTGTCCTCAACCAACCTCCACATCTTCCAGCTCAGTGCATCTCCTCCGAAGCCCCATCCCTCCATCATCAGCCCCTCCTCTCATTCAACCTCACTCCTCCCCAGATATGTTAAGGGTGACCAATCCTCACAGGCCCAGGGTCCCATGTCTCCTTCTCACATGGCTCTGTCCTTGCAAATCCTCACTCTTCCTGCAGCACCTAAGGTTCAGGGCAGTGGGTGCAGGGACAGTGCAGGGACAGATGGGGCTTCTGGCAGTGGGAACTTACATGTCCATGCAGATCTGTGTTGAGTAGCATCAGGGCACAGGTGAGGGTGTGGGCTCCATCTGCAGCACAAGCACAGGATAGGAATTAGAACCCCCAGCTCAGCACCTGAAGCCGGTGCTCCAGCCCCTCGGCACCCCAGGCAGGGCATGGGGTCTCTGAGCCCCCAGAAGAGCCCCAAGCCCCCTCCTCCCACCCTAGGCACACAGCAGTCAGTGTGGTGGTGGCAGCACGTGCGTGAGCAGATAGGAGACCACTGAATTAAAGCTGGTCCCAAGCCCGAGTGTACAAACTCCCTTCCAAGCCTGCAGTCCCTTCAGCCAGTCAGCAGTGCTGCAGGTACTCCTGCAGAGCTCCTAGCACGGCAAGGTGGGACCAGCACAGCCCCCTGCCAGCCAGGCAGCCCAAACCTCACCTGCCCCAGAGCCAGCCCAGAGCAAAGCACGTGAACACACACACAGGAGAGGCACAAAGATGTGAAACGGCACAAAGTGGGTGTCCGTGCCACCCTGAGTGCCAGGCACCTGAGTTTTTTCACCTGGCCACTGCTTGAGCCAACGGTCTGAGAGCTGGGGTCTATTTGGTGAGGGGGGGCCTTCTTTTGCCTCTTGTGCTAATCTGCTCAGGGTCAGAATTAAGGATGGGTTGAGCCCTAGTTATGCATGATCCAAAAGGAGCAGGTTTGGTGTTTCATAGAATCATAGAATAGTTAGGGTTGGAAGGGACCTTAAGATCATCTAGTTCCAACCTGCCTGCCATGGGCAGGAACACCTCACACTAAACGATGTCACCCAAGGCTCTGTCCAACCTGGCCTTGAACACTGCAAGGGATGGAGCATTCACACCTTCCTTGGGCAACCCATTCCAGTGCCTGTTTCTTCGTTTTTAATACTCAAAAGCATCTGTCATTTGAGGTAAATGACATCTCCCAGTCGGGGATGTCTCGTAAGGTGTCAGTATAGGCTGCCAGCCTGCTCTCTGGTTTCAGTTTGAGCACCTTCACCGAGATGATGAATGCATGGGTTTGCTTGAAACACACACAGAGACATGCACAGTTTCTTACCCTCTGAAGAGATGGCATTGGGATTACACTCGTAATAGCGCTGGGAAAAATGAGCCAGCACTCGCTCTCGCTCTTGTGTCTCTCCCATCAAGGCCAGCTCCTTTAGAAAGGACCTGAAGAAGCAGCAGCAGTGTTGGTGACATATGAAACCCACCAGCAGCTTCTCCAACCCACCCTGTGCAGGAGTGGAGATGAGCTTTCTGGTTTGTAGACCCCCGTGTGTACTGGATGAAACCTATGTTCATCCCTCGCAGTGTGCCGCAGGACTCCCCTCAAGCCCACAGCACCATACCCTGCAGAGACCTACAGTCAGACTGTAGGTCTACACTGGAACTACACTTGGGAAAGGAGGTGGGGGTTACACCAGGAAGGTCCAGGCTGAAGGCCTGGAAAGCCAGGTCTAGTTGAACCTGCCTGTCACCCAACCACACTGACTACTGAATTAAGACCAGGAATGCTTTCTTGGTTGTGGGGCTGAGAGACCACTTTGGGAATCACCCCCTGCTATTTAAGAGGTAAGAGGATCTCCACGTGGGAGCCATAGGGGTCTGCCTGTTCCTGCAGATCTCTGCATGGGTGCAGAGCTGCAGAGGACATGGTCTGCTGGGACCCACTTGGGTGGCCACCACACATGCACACATGTGCTCAGCTCTGACCTGAGGGCCTGGTCCAGGCTCATCCCCGTGAACACAAAGAACTTCAGATATTCCCCTGCCACCATCCTGCTGAACTCATTGCTGAAACAGTAAAGAGGGAGGTGAGAGTGAGATCAACCAGAATATGGGGACAACCAAAGGGACACAGTGGGTGGATTCTTGGAGGCTGAGAGCTCCCAAGGGTTGTGGAAGGTGTGCTGACACAGTCACCCCAGACTTCCATGAAATGCAGAGAAGTCACCCACAGATCCAACTGGAATAGTGGACATGGAAAAGAAACTGGAGAAGCTAGAGCTGGAAGGGCTCACAAGAGGTCCACTAACCATCCCCCTGCCCCAGCACCTGTGCAGAGTGGGCTTTGTGGTCCTGCCAACTATTCCCTGCCAGCCCGGTGCACCACAAGGGCAGCAGCTGTGGGTGCAGGTGTGCCCCTTGCAGAATGGAACGTTCCCTGCGAATGCCCACACATACTTCTTCCCCAGGTGGCGGGCCACATCTGCTTTTTTAAAGCCATCCAGGTTGTAGAGCCTCTTGGCCAGGCGTTTGGCAGCCTCCAGGTCAGCCTTGTGCCCATTGGAGAGAGTGTCCGTGCTGCCCAGGGCCAGCTGCTCCATGCTGTCCATCTCTGAGTCTGAGTCCAAAACCAGCTGGTTCAGGGGGTGGTCGCTGCAATGGGAAGGAACACTCCATGTTAGCCTGTCTGCAGATCCTCTCCTTGTCCAGCTTCTCAGGAAATGCAGGTTCCTCACCCCCAGCGGCTACTCAGTTCTGGGGCCCAGGGTGAGACACTGGTTAGAGACACCCCCAGGTCAGCTCTGGGAACTAAGGCAAGGTTTGAGGATGTGGCTGCAGGAGAGGTGGGGTGACAGGACAGTTCAAGTGACTGATGACAGGACCAAGGCCTCCAAACCCACATCCAAACTGTAAGTGGAGTGACAGCACAACCGCTCCAAAGTCCCCCACCCTGAGCCTGGGAAACTGCATGTGTGGGCTCAGGCTCTGCCAAGCTCAGCCGTAGTGAAGACTCGGAGCACAAACTTGTGCACATCACATGCTGTCCCGCACATCCACACTCATTTTCTAACCTGCACAAACATCTTGTGCTGCTCTTCAGCGCAGTTTCTACCCGAGATAAAGACAACAATAATTCCTTCACTTGCCTTTTCCCACCCTCTGACTTCAAAGCACTTCACAGAAGGGAAAACTGAGGCAAAGAAAAGAACAACCCCCCCCCACCCCCCCCCGGGCCTCCCAGCTCACAGAGGGGTGTACTTCAGGCTGCCCATCAGCTCTCAGCCCACCATGCCTTAAATGGCCACATTAGGAGACGCTCTTGGCTTAGCCCCCAAAGCAGTCTGACTCAGCACCACCGAAGTTATCCCAACCAAGAAGACGGTTGAATCTAATCAACAACGAACATTAAGTAACTCTGACCTCACCCAAATTTTCTGGCAGCCCTCGCAATGTTCCAGTCCCATTTATTTTTAAAAGTCTAATTGACTTTTAAGAGGCCTGCTCTCCTGAGCCAGTTACCCAGGCCAGTCGCCTTGAGGCTCCACTTCTTGCACAGAGGCAGCCTCCTTGCTCCTCAGGACTACTTTTCCCAGGGGAGCCACACATAGCACTGACAGGCTGCCTCCTGGGCACCTTCCTCCCACCCTCCTGGCACATCCAGCAGGGAAGCCCCTCTGTGCTCAAACCCAAGGGATGGACACCTCCCTGGTGAAAGCAGCTCTGACACCCTGCAGATCCCCAGGGAAATGTACTTGGCTTGGACCACTGCTGAGCTTGGCAGTGCTGGGCAGTGATAGTGGTAAGCCCTGGCTGGGTTCCCGGGGCAGATCCTTGCCCAATTAGCCCCAGCCCTCTACAAGAGCCTGTTCATCACCCCATGCCACCCTGGTGGGAGCAGCTATGAGGCTGGCCACAAGGTCATTAGGAGCAAACAGGCTCTGAGTCCACCTGCTCGGGGGAACTGTGCTGGGCAGGCACTTCCAGCATCACCATTCACATCACCAGCACACCCCGAACTTCAGGCATCCCTCCCACCTGCCTAAAACTTCTCCTCCCCCCAAAACCAGGTTGGCCACATCCAAAGGTGCTGCTGGTGTGGAACCTGGTGCCCACGGCCCTCCAGCTGTGCCCACACTCTCTGTCAGTGCCAAAGCCATCCACCCCAGGGGCTAGTACTGGGCACACACTTAAGCACCATCGGGCTCCTTGAGTGGCTGCAGCCACTGTGCTCTCAGCCAGAGACAGGGCTCACAGGCTCTTTGCTTCCCAGCAGCAGAGACAAACCCATCCCCACAACCAGCCCCTGCCAGCCATACGTTGTGGTGACTGTATTTTTCACTAAATTCTATCTATCTGCTGTCACAGCAGCTCCAAGGCTGCTCTTCCAGCTGCAGGCTGAGCTACAAAACTCAAAGCCACAGCTCCACCGCTCCCCATCCTCCGACTGCACCTCCAGAGCAAGCAGCTGCTCAGTCACCCTCTGAACACCTCTTCATTCTTCTCAACCACCATCAACAAAATCTCCCAACTAGACGTGGCCTGTCCTACCTCGTTTGGCTGGCCACTGGAGCCTCCCCAGGCAAACAGAGCTCTGAGCCTCCCGCCATGACCTCTCTTCCCAATCTGTGGTCCTCAGCTTTACTACCTACTGCTGAGCATCCAGGCATAGGCCATTTACAAAACCTCTCTTGTCCTTATACATCTGTACCTCCCTGCAGGCTCCCAACCTGCGGTTGCAGTTCTTGCCCTGCTTCTTGCAATGGGCATGCAGGGATCACAGCCTGGGTGTCAAAGCAGCTTTGCTAGCAGGATCTGCTGTTCCCTCCCTCACCAAGTCTTCATACTGATTTGGGGTTTTACAACAGCAAAGCACAACCTTGCTCTCAGGATGAGGCACTGCCCAACCATGACATGAAATGGGTTTTCTTCCAAGACTCAAGCCCCTCTTGTGCTTCAGTAGGCTGGAAGTCCCCCATTCATGGCACCCATCTGTCACCCCTCAAAGCCCCAGCTGGCTTGGAGAACGTGGAGCTTAAGGAGAGAAAACCAAGAACCCAATCCTCTAGCAAATGGGGAGCACAGCAAAGAGATGTGTCCCTGTATAAGGCAACTGAGGTGACGTTAATTTTCTTGCCAATGAGCTAATGTCTCAGGGTGGGTTTTTTTTAGTGTACTTTCTAAAGTGACATTTCAGTTTGGCTTGAAGAAACACTGAGACAATATTTTTTACATTAGATACATTTTCAACTCAAGAAGTGGCCCACACTTAAGAAATAAAGATCAAATTTGGTATTGTGTGAGTATCCTCAGCATGCCTGAGATGAGTCATCCCCCAGCAGACCCAGAACCAGCTCATTCCTCTCTGTGCTGCCCGCCTTGGACAGCCATTGCCACACTCCACGTCAGCGGGAGCACTGGTAACCTGCAGCCTCAGAGGTGTTTCCTTGAGAGCTCAAGGTCCCAGCCCGTGTATTGGCAGCAGTGAGGTGCTTCTGGGGTCTCTTCCATCAAGGAAGGGACATGATCCAGCTCAGGGCTTGCCCCAGGGCGGAGGCTCTGCACTCACCACCTCCCACCCCAGCTCAGCACAAGGAACATGTGCTCCCAGCCCTGGGGAGCTGCTGCAAGACCATGGTCCTGCTCATGGCCACCACACCACAGGCAGTCCTTCTCCAGGGCTCAAATGTTCCTTCTTGGACAAATGTTCCTCCTCTGGAGCCAGATCTTTGTCTCACCCCAATATTCCTCCACTGGCTGAGTGCCTGGAGCCCAGCAGGAGAGACCGCAGCACCTTCCTTCCCTGGCTGCAATGCAGTATGTCACTGCAGGAGCCTTGACTTCCTCTCCCCCCTGCCAACACAAACCAGGCTCACTCAGCACCATGTTCTCTCCATGGTTGCTAGCAACCAAGAGTAAATCTTCTCTCCTGGATGTGGGGGAGCAATAAGGCACTAGCTCAGTAAAGCCTGCCCTAGAGGGCTGACCTTCAGCTTCTGGTTGCCAGCAGGGATATATCCGTATGGTAGGATCCTTCCCATACGGCATCTGCATAGTGGGATCCTTCCTGCACCAACACCCCACTCCCCAGGAGTGGAGGAGGAGAGATGCCCCTGGCCACAAGCTGGGCGGCATAGCCATTGGTTTCAGCTGAGGGTGCTCAGCTGAGCTCCTGTGTTGTCCAGGTCCTGCCTGACACATTTCCAGGTGAGATACCTGCTGCAGAAAACTCACAACCTCCAACCACAATCCACATGCTGCTTGCTCCCCACAGGAGGCTGGTTTGCATCCTGCACCATGAAGGGATAGCGCAGAGAGCCTGGTCTGAGTCTGTGAGGGACACATGCATGGGGCAGAGCAGCACTCTGCCCTCGATTCCCAGTGCCCCACATGCATGGCTAGATGCCCAATGCCTCTGCCAAGCGAGCACAGCCTGCCTAATGTTGCTGCTAAGAATGTACCAGACCGGATCTTTGGCTGAGCTAAATAAACGCAGCTCCCTCCATCGGTCTCAGCGGAGCGACTGTGATTTATGACAGACAAGATCTGGGCTGGTTCATTCCTTGCAGAATTGAAGTTAGGGCTGAGAGGACACTTGAAGGTCAGCCAAGCTGGCTTCCAAGCACAGGCAGGGCTGGTCCTGCTTTCTGGCAGCTCTTTTCGATCCTAAAGTCACGCAGCCACAGCAGCACCCTCCAGCGTTCCTGCTGCCAGGTCCAGGTAGGACCTAACTTGGAGCAGTTGTGCCCCTCCTCGGTCCTCTTTCTCTGCAGACTTCCAGAGCCTCCCCTGCAGCACACCAGCCCTCTCTGGAGATGCCTGCCTGTCCTCCATCAGCCCTCCCCACCAGTCCCTTGTGGGTGTCACAGCTGCTCCTGCAGAGGACAGGGGTGAATCTGCATTCCCAGTAAACAATTTCTGGAGCCAGCGGAGACCCTTAAAATCTGGTTACTCACCTGCTGGGTAGAGAACTGTCTTCTCCTTCAGAGACACAGATGCCATAGGGACAGCACAAGGAAACCTGAGTCTCTCACACCCTTGAGCAAAACCTAGCCAAGGGGCTCTAAGTCTGACCCAGGGGCTGGAATTAGTGCCTGAGATTAATGCGGGTTGTGTCCCGCAGGGATGGGATGTGCCTCTGGAGGCAGCCCTGCCAGACCTGGGACCTGGTCTGCTGCCCCATCCTTCATCTGATGTGTACTCTCTTTCCCAGCTCCTGCTGCCCTTCAGAGCTTCACATCGAAATAAATGCTTAGGGGAAAACTCCCCCCAGGCTTATGACCCATTTTTTTGCCATGCCAATGCTTGTCGGGAACCCTCTTCATCCTCTGCCCCAGCCCTGTCCCCATCCTGTGCTCCCACCCAATCCCTCCCAGCTCCTCTTTCCCTTTCCTCATTGCCCTCCTTCCTCTGTTCATCCTCACCCCCAGCCTCCCACGTCAAACCCCGAATACACCCGACGGGCCCCAGACTGGGCACAGCCCTCAAAGGCATCATCTCACCAGTTTCCCCAGTGCCAACTGGGAGCTCGGGCCAGCTGACAGACCTGCGCTGGCCTCGGGAAGGGGAGGGGCACCGGCTCACCGACTGCTGCAGTAACAGAAAGGACCTTATAATGAAACACAGCAGAGCTTATTGGCGGGGGCTCGGCGCTCAGGGGGTCGCCGGCAGCCGCGGTCTGTCGGGGTAGAGGGTCTGCTTCCCGGCGCATTCTCCGGCCGGGGCTCCCTGTGCTCCCCACGCCGCAGCGCCAGCGCGGAGCTCTCCCTCTAGCGAGGCTGCGGGCGTGCCGCCCCTCACCGTGATACGGGGCCCTTTACACCAGGCTGTTTGCAACCTTCCCCCTCCCCCCCGCCTTTTGCTGCCGCTTCTCCTCCTGCCCTTCTTCTCGTCCCACCTCAGGCGATGCCCCTGATTCCGGTGCCTCTTACGAGGGGACGAGTCACGTCCCCTCCCTCTGCCGGCACCCTCAGGAACCGGCACGGATGGTTCTGGAGGAGCGGGATGGGCAGGGGAAATGGGCGGCCGGACCAGGGGGCTCACAACCCCAGGGAGGTGCAGTTTGTCCATTTGCATCCCGCTGGGGCTGACGGCCCGCAGGGTGTGCGGGACTGCGGCAAGGGAGGGCGCACTGTGGGTGCCCGCTTTGCACCAGCAGCGTGGCTACGGCTGGCGATTTGGACCTGCAGTTGCAAAAGTCCGTCTGCCACCGCAGGAGTGACAGCCCTCCAGTCCCGAGGGCTGCCCCAGCTCCCACCCTGCCATCTCACCAGCACCGGAGGGATTCCCCAGCCCTGCAGGGCTCTGCCCCTCCACACACCCCGTGGGTCACCATCACCACCCCAAAGACAGACTGCTCTAAGTGCAGTCTCTCCCTCTGCCCAGCGAGAGCAGGCATCTGCACACCTTCACCTCCCCCAGACAGGTGATAACCTACTCACAGAGCCTCTGCCCCATGCTGGGAGTGCCGTGGGGTGTCCCGCTGTGGAGGAGCAGAGAGGGAGTCCCACAGTGGGACCCTTGCTGTTCAGCCACTGCTCCCTCCTTTTCAACCAAGGCCACCAGAGGAGGCACAGGCATCTCAGTGCCTGGGGCAGCCTCACTGGGTCTGCACTTAGACGCATTCCCCATGTACAAGGTCAAGATAAAAGCGTGGTCTCAGACTATTGTGCGCCAAGGGACACCAGAACCTTGATGTAAGCTGAGGCTGCACGAACCAAGGCTGCCGGCCGCGGGGGACACCATGTCTCCCCTGCGATGCAGGGGCCACCACCACTGAGAGACAGACAGTTACAGGCTGCAAGGCCATCCCCAGCCAGACCCAACCCCAACCACTGCAACAATTCATGCCACAGGTTTGGCAGATACAAAGAGGACAGCCACAGGGCAGCACACACAAACCTAGACCTGCTGGTGTTCATCACCAGTCACCCCTTTGCCAAAGCCCTGCACAGCCTCCACTGCAGAGCCCCTCTGCCTTGGGTCCCCAGTCCATCTGAGCTGATGGCCATCAGTCTGTACTGCCTGTGACTATGGGCAGTGGTGAATGCCCAGCTCTGGCCCTGCTGACATGGGTGATGTTGTATTACAATGGCTGCAGAAGTTCCTTAGCTCCTTTTCCCAGCAATTTCCATTAAATACCCCTTAGTGGGAGCATTACAAGGATACTCCCTGCCCGAGCAAATCAACCCTGCCAGGCACCTGGAGCCACTGGTTCCAGCTCATGAGAACCTTTAAGCAATCAGCCATGGAATTCACACCTGGAATACTGTGTTCAGTTTTGGTCTCTCCTATACAAAAAGATGTACATAGGGCTAGAGAGGGTCCAGAGAAGGGACACAAAGATGATCAAAGGCCTGGGAAGCCTGCCCTGTGAGGAAAGGCTGAGAGAACTGGGTTTGTTCAGCCTAGAGAAAAGAAGGCTCAGGGGGGACCTCATCACCATGTTCCTGTATTTGAAGGGTGCTACACAGAAGGTGGCTATTCTCTTTTTACAAGGAGTCACATAGAAAAGATGAGGGGTGATGGGCACAGATTACTGCTGGGGAGATTCCAGTTGTACACTAGAGGAAAATTTTTCACAGTGAGAACAATCAGCCATTGCAACAGTCTGCCCAGGGAGGTGGTGGACTCCCCGGTGTTAGATACTTTCCAGATCTGGCTGAACAGGGTGCTGGGACATCTTGTTACGGTCATGCTTTGCCTAGAAAGGCTGCATAAGATCTTCCAAACTATTCTATGATTCTTCCTCAAACTACCTGGGAGTGCAGTGAGGGCTGCAGCTAGGTTTCCCCTGTGCTCCCCTGCCACCAGAGCAGAGGTACTCCTGCTTGTGAGGGCTGAAGGGGAGAATAGGCTCAGCAAAGGTGGCAGCCAAGATGCAGGTCAGTTTGGGGGAAGACACAACACGCCTCCATGGCCTGTGCCACAGCCCAGCACTGCTCTGAAATCTGCAGCAGCCACACTCTGTGTGCACTGCCAGCACACTCTGCACTCCACTGGCTATAAACTAGTGACGAAAAACCTCTGTTAGGATGCCATGTTGCTGTGTCTCTGCACCCTCACGCCTCCCCTGCTTTGGTATTGCTGTGGTACGATGGCAGTCTGTGGATGATAAGTCAGATATTGTCCTCTTGGTTTCTCCAGGATGCTCTGTTTTGGTCCCTTGCCTTGTCAAAGAAGTAGAAAGCCAATTCTTATTGCAGAGAGCACGGATCTGCCACCCTTTGCTGCCTCGTACCTCTCAGACATCACCTTTTTTACAGCACAAACCTTGCCTGGCCTCTGTGCCACCATGTCCCTGGCTCCTGTGTACCAAAGAAAGGGAAGGCCTAACCCAGCACCCCTCTGCTCCAAAATGCCTTTTGAGTGATCCAGGGACCACAAGCATGTGTGATACCCCACTCTTCTCTGTGGACTGCAGACATCAGAGAGGACACAGGGCTCAGATCTCTACCTGGCCACCCAAAGATGAGTGTATGAGTATGGTGCAGGTTGTGACCAAAAGTGACATCAGTTTGTTGTGGAAAAGACCTATCCCAAAGAAGTCTGGTGTGGAAAAGACCAAAGCCTAGAAAGCAGATGAGGGATTCAGGAGGCTCTGGCATTGCACAGAAGGCCACTGGGCTGAGAGACCTTGCAGGGAGGCAGTGTAAACGAGAAGGTCAGTGCTGGCAAGACTGAGATACCAAGTCCTCCAAGAGTCACCAGTTCTCTAGCTGAACCACTGGACAAGACCTGACATCCAGACTGAACCTGACCACACTCCAGATGAGTGTACCTCGGAAAAAGGAGATGATGTCTGCCAACCTGCCCTATCAAAAGTGCCACAGCCCAAGACCTTGCTGGAAGGCATAGGATTGCAGGTAGTGTCTCAGCCTGGACATGGTCTCATACCGAGATAGGCTGGAAGTAACGGGGGCTGAGCTCTCCCAGCTCAGAGATCCACAAGAGATTTTCCCCAGCATGGGGCAGCCATCCTGAGCCCAGAAGCAGGCAGTCTTGGAGCAAGGTACAGGGTGGGTCGTGATAATCTCTGCTTTCTATCTCCCAACACACACAAGCCTGAGGAGGTTCAGGAGGCCAGGACAATACATACAAGACTGTCAGACTCTTGCCCTCAAGAAACAGGAGGGTGCTACTCAGATGGTGAGGAGTGCGGCAGTACCAGGAAGTTTTGGCCTCCAGGAGGGAAAGCCTGTTGAAATTCTACCACTGCTCAACTTGTGACTGGCCTCTCCTCACAGCCACCATGGATACTGGACTGTCCTGCAAGGGGAACCACCAAAGGATTGAAGTCCTGTGACTCCCTGCTTGCTAGGCTGGAGGAAACCTCACAGCCCTCCAGCACCAACAAAGCTGGCCAAGATCAAAAAGGAGATGTGCTCCCAACAACGTGCCTACCACAACACTGTGGTGATCACTGGCCTGATCAGCAGCTTCACAGAAAATCTGTTCCTGACCCTTCACCTCCTCCCCTGCAACACAGGTCTTGGCTGCAAAGCACTCCATACAGCGTTAGATTCCACAGGAAGCTTTGGTGGCCCAGCTGGACAGCAAGCAACTTCGGTCACTCACCTCATGTTGGAGGCCAAGGGAGTACCAAAGCTGTCCTCTGAGCGGCAAGGGCTATGCCGAACACCTTTGCTTCGTCTCCCTCGCTCCTCCTCTCTTTCTGTCCAGGGGGCATCTGTAGCTGAACTTGTCCCAGAGTCTGGCTCCAAGTGAGCCAGCGGAGCAAAGTTCTCCTCGATCAGCTTGGCGCTGTCTTTGATCTGTCCCTGTATTTCTGGGGTGACGGCTGGGAGGTCAAAAGTGAAAAACGTCCCATGGGTGCGGGCTGGGGAGGAGAGGACGTCAATTGAGTCCAGGCTGGTGTAAGATGTGCCTTTGGCTCGATGGGACTCCATGATGCTCTCAAAATGCTTGCTGAAAGAGTCCATGCCATCCTTGGAGAGGCTGTGCCCCAGGAGGAAGGGCACTGGAGACTTGAGCATACCCTGTGTGTCTCGGTCCATGATCCTAGAGGGAAAGAAAGTGAGAAGAACTGGTCACTGAGAAGCGAGGGATCAAAGCCCAAAACAAAAGTCCATGTACTGTTCCAGAAGGAAACTGGGGAGGGCAGAAATCTCCTCTGAACATCCACACCTTTGCCTGCCCAAGACATCACGGGAAGAAGGACTGGGCTGGCCTCTTTCCAGACATATGCTTTTCCTTTAATGTGCCACAGACTTTTGTTCCTTTAGTGGCTCATCCTCATAAGAAGCTTATGAGATGGCTACTGCTCCCAGACATTTGACTTGAGCTTAGATCCAATAAAGGGCTCAAGCACCAGAAGCAGGATGTGGTTCAGCTCCATTTCCAAACAAATCTAGAAGTGGCTGCGTTTTCCACAAGCCTTCAGAGCTCCCAGCACCCACCAGGTTCCTCCTAAAGCTGCTCAGGACAGCGTGACACTTTCCTCCATGAACACAGCACTGTGGTTGGTGAGCACGGCGGTCAGTGAGCACCATGCTCAGACCATGACCAGCACCTACCTGCAAGGTCTGCTGGCTGGTCCCAGGAGATATCTGGGACCTGGCACAAGGCAGGGCTGAGCCCCAGGCTTCCCCAGACAGAACAGAGGGAGCCTTAGACCCACCTCTGGGCTCAGGGACCTAAGCCAGCCCATGTCCTAGAGGCCAGGCTTGGTCCTGGCTCATCATCTTGTCAGGGATCAGCTCTGCAGGGAGGCCCAGTTTGCCTCACAAACATCTGGGTCCGCTCCGACACAGGAGTTTCTTAACCCTGGAGCCCTGAGTGTTTTGTTCTGTAAATGAGGTGAAGTGCAGCCTGCCCTTCCATCAGAGCATGTGACAACCGGGACATTTCCAACCCAGGGAACATCAATGCTTCAGCTGTACAAGCATAATAAACACAGCCCTAAAAGCCTACTTTGCTCATAAGCCACTACCATTTTATTAAAGCAGCAGAAAAGCACTTGTTATGCCACTCTCTCCTCTGATGAAAGGAGAGGAACTGCTCCACCTTGTCGTGTTTGTTACGAACAAGCAGCTTTGTACAGAGGGCTCAGAAAAGGCATTCCTGTTACAAGCACCAAATGGTTTTCATTCATTATGCTCCACATACTGCTCAAAAATCTCACCCTGATTACTTCAGCAGGACAAGAGTCCCCCAGAGTGCTAGTGGGCTTCAAGGGAGCACAGCAAAGCCAGGCACAGGTAAGCAAGGCAGGATGGAGGCTGCTCTAACCCCCAGCATATCATGGCTGCGCAACACTGATGCTCTTACCATTCCCACCTTTCTGGCAAGGACAAGGCAGAGGAGACCTCTTTAACATCTGAAAATGAGCTTTACAGATGCAAATGTGCATTCACTGTCCTTACCACCCAGCTGTGTGCTACTAAACTATGCTAACCGCTGCTGAGTTTGTTTTCTGCCTCAGATTCATAAGGAGGGCAATGGGGAGGACAGTGCCAGCAGACAGAAGGGACCTTGTTTCCAGGAGGGGGAGCTGGGCTTATTCTTGCGTTTATAGCCAAAGACACAGAAAAAAAACCCACAGCCGGTTTTGTCCACATCGTCGGAGCTCTCAAAGCAATCCCTCCACCTCAAAATACCAAGCGCAAAGCCGTTCAGCTCCAGAAAGATCTAGTCACAGCAGCACGGGCACAGCGCTGCCGGCACACACCACTCCTGCTCGGATCTAGATGCTTCTTCATCAGCCGCTGCTGCACTGCTCATGCCTCCCTACACCGGCTCCAGCCCCCCAGGAAGGGTCATTGCACCGTCACCGAGTCAGACAAACACAGGTGGGAGGAGCAGAGGAGGGGAGGCGATGCAGAAGCTATAATCGAGCATCTGTGCAAGGGTGACTGGCAGCGGGAAAGCAAATAGGTTTCCAGCCTTGAGCTGGGGCAGAAGAGGCAGTGAGCCTTCCTTGGGAGAGGGCCAAGCAGATCCCGAGAGCCAACAGCCCCGCTGCATTGCATGTCAGTGCCAAAGCCAGCGGGCAGCGGGCAGCCTTCAGGCAAAGGCCTGCCCGCGGGGACCATGAGGGCCCGAGTAACTGAGCTTCAGCAGCTGCACCCGATGGCTGATGAAGGGGAAGGGGCTCTGTCCCCTCTCCCCTCCTGGTGCTGCAGAGCCGAGCAGTCCCTAGTGGGGGAAGAAAAGAGGAAAATCTCACTGCTCAGGCCCTCAGCGGTTTTCACTCTGCAAAATGCTCTTCTGACACTCCAGACCCCCGACTGCCCCAGCCATGCCCCACTCCTGCCCACACAGTCACAGTAGGCGCTGTGTGGGGATCCCAACTCAGCTTGAAAGTGAAGCTGCACAGAACCACCCAACAGCCCCTCATTTTATCCCTCTCTGAACGATGCTCTTGTATGGACCAGCCCCAGCAGCTCCTTGCACCTCCTTCACACACCTCCTCCAGCCTGGCAGCTGCCTGCTTTTAGACCTAACTCCAACCTGTGCTCAGCCACAGGTACCCACCATGGGCACCGTGCTCCCCCCAGGCTTCCACATCCATGCCGACACACTGAAGTATCACCCTAAGCTGCAGCTCTGTGGCCATGCTGGGCTCTGAGCCTGTGTGATCACACCAGAGGTTTGTGACTACTGAGGCAGGTTAAGCCCATGCTTAAGTGTTTGATGAAACCGAGGCCGTAACCATTTTTAATCCCCAGCAAGGCTTGCCATGAGGCTATTTTCAGCAGAGCAGCGAGCACAAAGGCTCTGGAAGGGCTCCCCAGGTAGCAGATCCAACGGCTTTCCCAGTTAAGGCTATTCCACTTGTAGCGAGAAAAGGGAGCTGCCGCTCTCAGGGGAGCAGGCACCGCAGCAGTCTCTTCCCTCTTATCAGCCCAAGGCACCCGTGCTGCAGGACCAGCCCTGCCTCCAGCTCACCCAGCACATCTGCTGGTGCGGTGCTCGGGGAGGAAGGGAATTGAGCCTGCTTTCACTGACAGGTCTTGGCTTTCTGGGACTAATGGGAATAAAGACAATAACGGCTTAGACTAGTCATTAGAGTTGGTAGATCTGACTCTAAATATATTCAGGGAGCGGATTTGCTGGAAGAAGACACTGTTTCTCCCATCACTTTCCATGTCTCATTTGATTTGGTGTTAGATTTTTCAGCTGTTAGCATAGGCTCATTTTGGGAGGGTAACTCACCAATGTGAAGATGCCCTTTGGCCAGAATATGAAGGACAACAAAACAGTACCAAGCCAAAATCCCCCTCACAGAGCATGCTAAACCCTTAAGGCTAGATTTTCAAAGGGATTTACATGTTTACTTGCTGCAAATTAGCATCCAAAGGTGCTTTAGTAATTCTGTAGGACTGGTCCTTCCCAGGCCTAGGGTACAGCAGCTCCAGCAGCAGCAGAATGGTGCTAGATCTGGGGAGCTTCTTAATCACCTCAGCATCACCCCTCCTTGTGAGCAGGCAAAGCAGAAAGCTTGAAGTAGAAAGCATCAATACTGTTGACTGCTAAACAGGGAGGAGGACTGCAGCTGCAGAGCTCAGAAACAGTGCGTAAGCAAAAACCCAGGGCTGTGATGCAGGGGCTAAACAAGCTCATGGTTTGAGGCTTGTGATTGTCAAGATGCTGTCTGCAGGGTCTGCACCTTCCTGGGGAATATTCAGGGGCTGCAAAGCAAGAAACCCACTGGTCTACAAAGAAGCCATGTAAAGTTAACGATGCCCCTATATACACATCAGTAATTATACCTGCAGCACCATCCTTAGGAGCAATAATGCATTTAAGGACACATCCAAGCTTTCAGTGCTGCCTGGGGAGCTACAGTAAGGTGCCTCAGAGAGGCTTACAGCTCACAGGGCTTGTATTGACCTAGTAAATATGTGGAAATAAAATACCATGATGCAAGACAACTTTTACAGTATCTTGAAGAACTTGTTTGCAATTATAACAACTTTACACCTTACTCAAAACTTCTATCACTATTCATTTGGAAAAGAATACATAAAAGAATGCTTATTTTCAGCTTTTCCCTAGAACCCAAAGTTTTTGAGGCCAGCGCAGAGACAGACAGCAGGGTGGGAGGTATCCACCCCCTCCACTAGAGATGCAAAGGCTGGACAAGCTGGCAGGAGACCAGTGCCTCTCGGGACACACACCTTCCCTCCCCATCAGCTCAGCACCTTTGGGTTTCTCCTTCCCAGTGCAGGGGTACCACTGGGGGCTATATTTTCATTATCTTTTCCCACTGCCAATAGCAAAACCCCTTTTTTTCCTTTTCTTCCACCTAAACGCTCCCCACCTGCATTCCGCAGAGCTATGTGAGCACATGCTGCCACACAGCATCCCAGGCATTGCCCTAGCTTTGTGCTTCCCAGGTAAGACTCTCCCTAGCTCTGCAAAGCACTTGCTGATGATGCTGAGCTCCTTACCTCACCCATGACTCTTTACCAATACACAGGAAATGCCCTTGGCTGCACTATCTGCAGGGGCATCTCCCATCCCTTCCAGGGCCTTTCTCTCCAGGCAGCTGTCCTGCAGAGTGCTCTGGAGCTTCTTCTCCTCCTGTTGCCTCCTGGGAAAAGTGGACTGATGCCCGTCACTCCTCATGTTCAAACCATCACTCCAGAGGACATTGCTTAGGCAGAGTCTCATGCTGCTGGGCCAAAACACCATCTCCCATCTCCCACACCTGGCGCAGGGTGGACAGCAGCTCAGATGGTGTTAGCTGCCCATGGGTGGGCAACTGAACCTTGGTGTCACCTTCATCAGCTCCTCAGCACAGCGTGTTTTGTCACACAAGTGACAAACAGCACAAAAGACAACAAGAGGCTTTTTCTAGCCCAGCACATCCCCCACTCTTTCTCAAACATGGCAAATACCTACTGAGGCCGAGCAAAAGGGACCCCTCTCACCACCAAGGCAGAGCTGTCTGCAGATGGAAGGGTAGCCCAGCAGCGTTCGCAGCATGCAACAGTTTCAGGACATGGCCTGGTCTCAGGCAGCCTGCCACCATCACCCCAATGCCCAGCAGAATCAGGGAAGGACCCACTCCAGGAAGGCTCAGTTTAGCTGCACAACATGATCTGCAGGGCTCACCCCAGGGGAGCAGGGCCCATGGCACATCACCCAGGGCTGGATCATTGGTGCTGCCCTACTCTTTCCATAGGGCAGTGAGGGCCCCCTCCCAGTCTCAGTCCCAGCCACAGCCCCAGAGGGGTGATCCAGGACTCCCATCTTACCCCAGGTGCAACTTGCATAGAGCTACTGGGATTTTTGGCTCAGATGCTTTTGGCAGAACCCGTTTCACCACGCAGGGGACCATAAGGAGGGTGAGAGGAGCTTTTTGCACTCGTGCACAGAGCCTCACCTTTCTCTGTTCTCTTTCCTCATTGCCTCAAACACCTCATTGTCCTCGTCCATGTGCCTGTCCCGCAGCCCGTCCTTTGGGCAGTTGGTGCCTGGGGCGGGGGACTCCTCCGGAATGCTGTTCCTCCTGCCTGGGGTGCCCCCAAAGCTTGGGTTGCTCTCACTGTCCTTCTGGCTCTCAATCGCTGAATCCACCTCCTCCTTCTCGGCCAGGATATCATCGATGTTGGTTTCACGATAGCACCTCAGTGGCACAGTGTCCAGGTCTGTCTCGGAGTATTTCACCGTCCTCCTTATAATCCCAGTCTCGCAGGAGCCGGGCTTCTGGCTGCCCGTAGGAGACATCTCTATCTCCACTTCCACATGGCTCAGGCTGTGCTCAGGTACCAACCCCGGTGGCTTGGCGGGCGGCGGGCAAACGGGCTTCTGCGGAGGCTCAGCCAGGGGAGCAGAGTCAGCGGCAGAGGAGCCTGCAAGGTAGCCCCAAGCACTCAGAGCTGTGGGGAGCTGCTCCTGTGGCATCACACACAGCAAGAGCAGCAACACACATGTGATGGGCACTGGGGAATGGAGAAGGGAAGCCAGAAGGAAGAAGACTGGGAGAGGCAGAGGCAGGGTGCTATCAGTGCTAGTGCACTCACAGCCAGCCCTGAGCCCCCATCTGAACCCCAAAGCCCTTCTGCAGAGGCAGCAGGGGGGTGCCAGAGGTCAGTGCTCTGTCATCCCCTTTGCATAACACTGCATGGCCACAGGGAACTCTGTGGGGAAGCTGGTGTGTGTAGGATCTGGCCCCAAGGGGACACAGACTGGCTGATCGTGGGGGGATCTCTTGTTGGGCACCAACAAGCTCTGAGGGATGGGCACCCCCAGGGGGAGTCCCGGCAGCAATTTAGACTTGCAAAGGAGAGGCTGGCTCAGCTGAGGGCACCCCCCCCCCCCACACTTCTTACATGTCTTCGGGGTGTCCATGGAGCCGTAGAAAAATTCCCACTTGGCCTTGGCAATGCGTTGGGCATGGGCTGAGCTCTGCCGGGGATATGGCCAGGCGCTGCCCTGCAGAGGGGAGAGCGGTGAGTGGGCAAGAGACGCTGGGGCACAGCCCGCACCCAGTGCAGAGCACCCCAGTACCTACCTGGAGCCGGGCCTCTGGCTTCAGGGGTGTCCTGGCGAAGGCAGGGGGGTCCTCTGGCAGCCCGTTGGTGAGGGAGCGGCAGAGGCAGTCGGCATTGAGGGCACAGGGCTCCTTCCCACAGGGACGTGTCTCCCCCGGCGTTCTGCCCCCGGCCAGGAGCGGGTCAGATGCAGAGGCCTCCAGCTTGAGCGTGCTCAGGAGCCGCTCCTGGGGCCGGGGCTGGGGCCGGGGGCATCCTGCGTCCCCGCCGAGCTCCAGGCTGCGGCTGAGGCTGCGGGGGCCGTTGTTCCCGCAGGGCGGCAGGCCGCCCAGGGTCTGCACGCTGGCCTTTTCGATGAAGCGGAAGGTGACCACGGAGCTATGTCCCTCCAGGGCCGCTGTCGCCGCCGGACTGCGGATGCCCAGGGACGAGACCCCCGGGCTGGGCCGGCCCCGCCGAGGGGTGCAGGGGGCTGTGAGGCGCCCCGTGCCTGGGCAGCTCCCGTTGCTGAAGGGAGCTGCCTCGGCCGGCCTGCGGGCCAGGGAGCCGGTGCTGTTGTAGAGACCGAGGGGGCAGCGGCGGGTGTCGGGGGCCAGGCCCTTGCGCAGCAGGTGCAGGCGGCCGGCGTTGAGGTTGGGGGTGAGGCAGCGCGGGGGGCTACACCTGCCGGCCTCGGGGCTGCCCCCTGCCAGCCAAGGCCTGCGGTCCACCCCGCGGGCGCACGGCAGGGGCGAGGTGCCACAGCCCTCCTCGGGGTGGAAGCGGACGGGTCCCCCCGCCTGGGCCATCCCGGTGGAGGAGGGCAGGGAGGTGTCAGGTCCGGGGCCCGGCTGGGTGGCACAGGCACAGCAAGGTGGGTTCCCAGCACCCCTGAGATGATGGACGGGTCGAGGGGCGACGCATCCTCATGCAGCCCTGCAACAAGGGCGAGGAGAGCTGGTTAGGGCAGGGAGGACACAAGAAAAAGGCCAGGCACACTGGGAGGACAGACAAAAAGTGCCTTGCCCTTGTGGCAGGAGTAAGAGATGCTCCAGGTAAGACAGCCCCTTCAAACCTCCTGCTGCAAGAAGCAGGCAAGGTTTGTTGTGAACATCACATCAGCACCACTGTGGCAGTCCTCTGCTCAGTCCTCAGGCACCCAAAGTGTTTGCTTTCTTCCCAGGGTGCCAGGGTGCTCAGGCACTTTCTGCACAGACCAGCATACAGACACAGCAAGAGAGTACACTGTGCGCTTTAAAGTGGGTTTCATTCATCCTGCTTTAGGATGAATATTTACTACCAACAGCCTACTAAAATTACTTCAGTAGGGGGGAAAAGATGATACACTGGATCACTGATACATCCTCCAATTACACTTGCCCAAGGAGTTTAACATGAGCAGCATGGGCAAAGAGACTCTGCTTTTGGAGGTCAGCCTTGGTTTAAAGTGTGTCACACCAGCACATGCTGTGGCTGCTACTGGTGGCACAGACGGAGCTGTCAGCACCTAACCCTGGGAGAACAGAGCACACGGCCCTGCACACAGCTTACGTGCCTGCCTGCCTTTGCCCAAGGACCTTCCATACAGAGGTGAGACCAGCCACTCCATGGTAGCGGCTGGGAAGCTGCAGGGGAAGGCAGGAACTGGAGCCCCCACTGGCACTGGCAGGGCTCCTGACAGTTCTGTTTCTCCCAGGGGAGCTGAAACTTACACTCATCCTTCCGCGAGTTTCTCTGAAATCCTGATGTGCAAACAGGACTTCGCCTTGGCTGCTTTTGCCTTCTGACAGATGCCAAGGTACCAAGTCCCTCACTTAGATCTCATCATTTTAAAGTGAGAAACCAAATGTCAGTTGCAAACAGAGGAAAACATGGTTTCTTCTCTCTGTTTCTATGCACAAACTAGGCAGGATTAAATTCCTGAAGGACATGGGGCTGGATTTCTCAATACTGTTTAGGCTCTAGCGATGCAGAGACATAACTTAGTAATATAACTCTGAGGGGCAGGCACCCATCTATCTGCACTATCACACTTCTAAAAAAATCTGTCTTCTGCTGAGCAGCAGCAATCTGTAATTCACTCACAAAAATATACCCTTCTGTTTAATATATCAGTTACTGGTTTTACAGTTTTTTTTTCTCATGTTATGGTTGTGTTCACATTCAAGGTTGCTGAAGTTAACTGATAAGTAACAAAAGATGCAGGGCTTATATGTTTCTAATGAAGTTCCACTTTTTATCTCAAAGCAGACTGACACACATGCCAAGGAAAACAGTTATCACTAGGAATACTTGGCATTCACTGTAACATAACAAATCTACAAAATCCCAGCCTATCTCAGTACGTGTAAGTTACTGCTAAAATGAATGGGATAAGCACAGCATGTCCTCCTAGTTAGCAGAGGAGAGTTATCAAATTCAGAGCAAAGGCCATGCGTGCCTGTGACCCACTGAAGCTGGATGGCTACACCATCCAGCAGAGAGAGCTTTTCTTTAATAATGAAAGGTAAAAAGCACAAAATGCAGCAGAGATGAAAGATCAGTGATGGAGCTAAGGCTTCCTACTTGCTGATTTAAATTGTGAATCAAATTGATGCTCTTTAAAGCACTGTGATGAATGGGTTGGGCTGTATGGCACTGGTGGGCTGGAGGGAGGCTTGCTGATCTCACTGTCTGAAGGCCAGAGAAGTCCTGTGAAGGAAAGCTTACAGGGATGCTGCTAGGGCAGCCCAGGGCATGCGTTCAAAGAGAAAAACTCGGGAGGTGCAGTGTGATAGCCGGGAGCTGCATGTCAGTGGGGGATTTCATTTGTTCAATAAAACATCTCACACTCATAAGAAGCTTGCTCCTCCTGATTGCCTCTTCTTAGCAGCTAAAGGGATGTCTAGGGATTTTTCCTAGCCCTTGCTTTGAGCTGTACCCGGTGCAACAGGGGATGCTCACCCCGGTGCGGGCGCTTGCCTGGTGGAGCAGGGTGATGGGAGTGAAGGCAGCAGACAGCAGGAGCTGTTCACACTGTGGGGGAAGAGCGCGCCCACGGCAGGGCTGCGTGGGGACAACGCGCAGGAGCCGGGGGAGGATGCCAGGGGAACGGGCGAAGAACGGGACGGGGATGGGAAGGAAGCAGGAGGTGCAGGGCTGGGGGCTGAATTCACGCAATGGGCCGTATTTGTGTGCTGGACACGGTACCACTGTCAGAGGCGATGGCAGGGAATGGGGACAAGCACGCTGTGGATGCCAGGCCGTCTGCTGGGGAGGGTGGTCCTCAGAAAGTGCCTCTGCACTCGGGCCACAGGGCAGTTTCGGGGATGGAGTGATGACCGGGGAGTGCCTGCCGGCCCTGGGGCTATGGGACACAGGAGACCCCTTCCTAAGGGAGTATCGAGGCAGGGGACGTTCCCCACGTCCAAGCTTGAGCTTAGCCTGCCTTTCCCTCCCTGGCCACCCCAGCCCGGCCTCCTTTGTCCGGCACCTCCCGTCTCGGCGGGATCAGCCCTGAGTGGATGTGACATCCATCCGGATGAGAAGGGAGCCTCCCCGGCCAGGGGGGCTGGCGGAGCCGTTCGCTCCCCCCGCAGAGCCGCCCGCCTCGCCCCGGCCGCACTCCCCGTGCCCGGGCAGGTGCCCCGAGCCCGTCCCGCTGCATCAGTACACCGCCTGCGTCGGGGGGGTCTCGACCCCGCCGGGCTCTCACCGGTGCTAGCGCAGCCCTGTGCAGCCGCCCGCCGGTCACGGCTGCCGAGAGGGCGCAGATCCGCCTGGGCCCCTGCAACACCTGCTGCAACTTTCCCCGTTCCCCCGCTCCGGGCCCCGCTGCTCCCTGGTCCTCTGTGCTCCCCGCTCCTTACCGGCAGTGCCGCCGCCGCCACCGCATGCTGCGCGGCGCTGCTCCGCGCTGCCGCCGGCACGGTATGGTACAATACGGCTCGGCTCGGCTCGGTTCGGTTCGCCCCGTCGGACGCGGTGCGGTGCGGTGCAGTGCAGTGCAGTGCAGTGCAGTACGTTATGGTGCGGTGCAGTACAGTACAGTGCCACCAGCCCTGGCTCGCCGCTCCCCGCCGCGTTAATCCCGACCCGGGTCTGTCACTCCGCCCCGCTGACAGCCCCGGCAGCCAATGGGAAACCCCCGTCGGCCGCCGCGCCCCGCCTCACCCGGTGGCACCGGTACCTGCGGAGCGAGGAGCAGGCGGATCCACACCGGAGCCGGGTGCGTGTCCGTGTGCGGCAGGCGTGTCCCGGTGTAGCACTGTGCGCTTACTGCTAGAGCACCGCGCACGTGTCCCTGTGTGCCAGTGTGCATGTCCTGGTGTAGCATCCCACACAACCCTGGTGTCCTGGTGTAACACCATGGAGGTCTTGTGCCCCGGTGTGCACATCCCCATGTGCGGTATGAACCCGGCCTCATACATGCCTTGTGCATGTCCCAGTGTAGCACTGCACATGTCCATAGCATGCACCTCTCCATCAGTGTGCGCATCACTGTGCACGGTGTGTCCCTGCTCAGCAGCATACGAGATCCTGTGTGACTGCAGACACTTGTCCTCATGCATGAGCATGCATAGCCCTGTGTGCTGTGCCCTATGCCGCAGGGTACAGGTCGCCCCCACACCCCACCACTGCTTGGGATCATGAGGACAAGACAAAAGCTGCCATGTGCCCTGGGCCACTGGCCACCTCCAGGAAGGCCCCTTGCTGGAGTCTCACCTCTCCACAGATCCTGACACTAAGCACACTGTGGTCACAGGTGCCAAGGTGTCCCAGGCAACCAGGGACTTGACATCATTGTGTCACCAGCCACCCTAAGGATGGGAAATGCCAGCCCAGCCTGAGGAAACCACTTAATGCTACAGGGTGGAAACCCCATCCTTTGCATCCTGCCAGTTGCAGGCCCCAGAGGTGTGTGCAGGCACCAGAGGTGTGTGCAGGACGGTGGAGAACCAAGATGAGGGGTGCTGTGGCAGGGTCCCCAGCCACAACACTGCTACTGCACTGGGGCTGCACATGGCAGTGGCTGGGGCTGGAAGCCAGCGCTCCCTGCCCGCCCGGGTTGCCTGATTGATTCACTATTAAACAGCACTTTATTACCCAGCCCAGTAATGGTTATTAAATGTGTGTGAGAGGAGGGGCCCAGGGGAGCCAGGGCCTTGCATGCACACCATGCCTGCAAGAGGAATCTGGGAAAAGCTGCTCCTCCTTGCTGCTTTCTCTCCCTGCAGAGAGCCCAGATTCGTGCCCGCCTAGCCTTGCTGTCACCCCAAAGTGTGCCCCCTTGCCCCCTCCCAGACACAGGGACACAGGGAGAAACCAGCAGGCTGGGCAGGCTCTCCTCATATTTAATGCATTGAGGCACTGCCATGTTCCCCCTGCTTCTCCAGGCTCCTGCCTGCGTGGGGCCCCTCTCCCCACGCCGGGGACCGCAGGTCCCTGAGCTGCCGTGCACGCTTTAGGTAGGCTCCGGGAAGCTGGGATAATCAGGGGCCTCGCTGCTGTAGGATCAACGACCCGATTCCTTCAGCAGCTTCTTGATGGCAGGAGGGCGGGGAGGGGGAAGGCTTTTCTCTAAGCCACAGCCAGAGTGACAGATTTAACCAAGGGGAAGAGCTAGGAGCTTTTCCCAGTGTGTCTGCACCAGGACACTGTGCCTGTGCCTTCCCAGCACTCACAGGCAGCCCAGCTGAGAGCTGCAGAGGGTAAGGGAGAGTTCCTCTGCTGCCACCCTGTCTGGAGATCCAGGTCATCTGCAGAAAACACATCTCCTTCCAAACCATGCATGTTTCCACTATGCAGCTGTTGCTCTCCCTGCCACACTCTGCTCCATATCCCCCTTGCCTTCCCACAGCCCTATAACTCCTAAAGGATGTGCCCACTGACATGGGTCTAGCCAGCGCTGACATAAGCCCCATTGGCTGAGGATTTAACCCTGGATCCCCTGGTCCCTCCTGCTGTGCGTCCCTTCGCAGCTGATGCAGAGGAGAGGAAGCAGGGAACCCATCTGGCAGATGACAGAAGGGGACAAGGAGAATCCCCCATGCATCAACCCAGAGGGCTCAGACAGAGAGCTAGGAGGGCAGTGCACATTGTCATTATTGTTGCCTCGGCACTTAAGCACTTCTAAGTCCCTGCCTGTGGTATCACATCTTTCCCCCATGAACACCACCAAATTCCATGTCATCCCTTTCAGATTCCTGGGCTCTGTCAGTTCCTCAGTCCCATTCACAGGCAGCTTCCAGGTGATTTTTAGCTATTGCATTGCCCCTGCTCATCTTCACAAGCCCTCCTCACACACAGATATCCCACCTGAGGCCAGAAGGGTGTGGGTTGTCAACAGGGTAGACCAATGATGATGAACTTACTTGGAAGAGATCAACCTGGATGTCATGGTGTCCCAGCAGTTGAACAGATCTAGATGATATTGGGTGAGGAGGGGGTAGACAAGAGCTCCATTCCTACCCTGGCTCCAGGAGAAGCTGATGCCAGCATGTCCTGAGGCACATGGATCAGACTCTGGAAAGGTGCTTTTCCTGCAGCTGCACTCCACTTGAAGTAAACACCCTGGTACCCCCCAGGCCAGCTTCTGAGCGTACAGGGGATGTCAGAGATGGTTCCCTTGGTGCAGCTTGTGCTTAAGGCACTTCGAAGAGCATAAGGGCCATATTCTGCCTCAGTGCTGCCAAAGTGAGTGGAGCTGTGCTTTGGCCTCAGGGTGCACAGTCACTCTGCTGGCAGATGGGTGCTGCTCACCCAGCTCACTGGAAGCACCACAGAAATAGCAGCTCCAGCCCTGCAGGAGTTGGGTCCCACTGAGCAAGGGAAGCTGAACTTCCGATGTGCCTGCATTGAGGGCTCCAGGGCAACCAATTAGGTTGCACGTGTTCCCTCAGGACCTAGATTTAACTACATGGCTCTAATTAATGCATTCAGCCCCTGGTGCCAACACCCAACCACATCCTAGCTGTATATTAAAAGAGCCACTGCAGCATAAGCCAAGTCTTTAATGGGCTGATGCACTTACCTGTTATTCCACCAGGCTAGGGGTTAAGGATAAATGATGAAAATACCCTTCCTTGACAGTCTGCTATATAAATGCTGCTTCACAGCTCACCAGGGCAAATAGGCAGTGCTGGAGATCCTGCCCACCACTCTATGCAGACCTGGCTCAGGGTAGGGAACACCCACACCATTCTGTGCCTCTGGCAGCTCCCTTGCATGGGGCAGGCATTTGGGACCACAGCAGGATTTTTCAGGATGAAAGGCTCTCTGGAAGAGGACCGACTGCAAAATGTCTTACCAGGGAGAAGAGCCAGTGCAGACCTGCGCCTGTGCAAGCGCTGCCTGCCCGGCCCTGCCTGGAGTCCCAGCTCCCCTCCCGCAGGAACGTTCAGAAGAGCCGCGGTGCAGCGAGGAGGCAGTGGAAGCTGTGTGCTGGGCCTCAGAGCGAGCTGTAGCTAAGTATTTCTGTAACGCCCTGGGAGCGCCTGCTGTTCCAGAGATCTCTCAGACGCTGTCCCAGCCCCATGCACCGAGCGGGCTTCCCCCTGCTCTGACACTGCTTAGTTTAGATGAAGGCAGAGATGCCAGCATGGTAAAACCTGTCCTGGAGATAGGGAGGTGGGGCCTCAGCACAGCTTGGGCCATAAATAATCTCCCTGCACAGCAGTTAGGGGAACAATTGTGTGGGAGTATCTCTTGGTAAAAAGATGCTCGAGGGAAAGACGGTTTTGGAGGAAAGCAGGAGATTTCTGGCTGGTGGGGTGAGCTCTGCACTGAGGATGGAGCTTCCTGGGTGCCAGCAGGTCGCTCACAGTGGTGAGTCACTGAACCAGAGAGACCAATTTAGTCTGAATGAACCCAAATCAACAGCTCTTGGGTGTAGCCTCCCAAGACACGGCTTGTGCTGCAGCAAAGATCTCCGGAGCTGTTTTCCAGCTAAACTCCACAACAGTAAAATGTGATCCCTTCCCCCCACCTTCAGCCTCAAGATTCACATGGGGAAAGGTGAAAGGGCATAAGGGGGAGGAAAAGCAATGAATACAGGGAGTATCTGATGCAGGAAAGAGACAGCAAGCCCCAGACACGTGTCCTGACCTAGCACAGGGAGAACACGATCCCATATAGAATGTGTGAAAGGTGTAGAAACTTAGGTGCTCAGTTAAGAAGGAGTGATTACAACCATTCGGGGGGGGGGGGGGTGTCGGAACCTGCCACCTTGGTGAAGTGTATGGAGGCACATGCAAAGGAGACACTGAAAGCTTGGAAGCAGTGGATTCATGAGGGGAATGCTGCAGAACAGCCCTGCACTGGTGTCTAGCTGGGAGCTCCTCATGCATGTTCCTCTTCTAACCCTGCCTTGCACAGCTTGGTCTTGCTTTACTTCTATTTTTTTTTTCCTGAATATATAGGCAGGTTCTCAACAAGAGAAAGGGGAAGGTGAAAGGGGAAGAGCTGAACAGAAGGCATCATGGGTTCTTGTTTCACCATCTTAAAAGGGGCTCCTGGTGGCACTGCGCAATCTCAGTCCCCATTGAGAGCAGGGTTTACCCTGATTAGCCAGCAAGGTGCCAGCCATCACACAAGGTGATAGTTCTTAAGACAGCAGGTTAGTATTGGCTTGGCACCATACCGATCTCCTAAAAATAACTTGTACTCTCCCACAACACCAGCCTCTAGGAACCCCAGAAGGCTTGAAGAAACCCAACCTTTGACTTCGAAATAACTGCATTTTTGATGCAAGGTAAAAGTCAAGGGGCATGGGTAGGGAAGACTTGCCCAAGATCAGCTGGCAAATCAGGAGCACCTCTGGGAACCAAACCCTGGGATTCCTGACTTGGGGTCGGCTCTTCTAACCAGCAAACTCCCCTCCCTTTAGGCCCAAATTCCCCAAACCTCATTCCCACTTCCCAAAGGATGAGGTCATGACCAGACTCCTCAAGTATAGCCAGGCACCAGCACAGCCGTGGAGCTGGCTGAAGCCTCCGTTCACTTTAGGGAGAGGGTAAAGATGAGGGTAAAGATACCAGCAGAGTCAGACCGGAGGCCATGCCCTGGCTCTGAGAGCAACCAGCACCATATGTTTCCAGGGAATATACAAGAAAGCTGCAGCAGTTGTGAGCTAATTTGCTTCTTTGCCCCAGGGCTCAGCTTGGTCTCTTGTCACTGTCAATCAGCTCAAGGCCCGACGCAGAAGCCCTGCTTTCCCTCACAGGACACCAGTGGTCACTGGGATAGCAGGAGAGCCACCAGACTGACTGGTGTCCCCTGCTTGTGGAAGGTACCTGTGCAACACACTTCTGCAGATGCCCTGCAAGCACTGGGAACATTACAGCCCAGCACTGCTCTTGGGAACAGGGAGCTTCAGATGCACCTTGTCCAAAACAGTGTCTTAGAAAGGCACAAGAAGAAGTGATGGACATGTGCCTGGTGAGTCACGACAAATGCAGTCACCCATTGAAAGGGAAGCATCTCCAAGCTCACCCCATTGGTCTTGCAAGGGGCACCACCTTTAAGCCAGTAGCTGCCTGCGTGGCACCAGGCCCACAGTGTGCCGTGGAGCTAACAGGACATATGCTGAAACCACATCAGCTGGGTTAACTTCTTGTCAGCTCCATTTCCCCATCTCTTGTGTCCTGTCTCCACCACACTTACCACTGAACTCAGCACTTACAGACGCTGGTTAACATGCATGTGAGCAGGACCACAGCTCTTTTTATTACCTTTTAGAGGCTAAATTAAGAGAACTGGTTGGTCTTACAGGAGCTGTTGTGATAATCTTTCCCACATCCTCTTTAAAATCTAGAAGATGGCAGCTATCCAAGCTTACAGAAAGAAGTTTTTAGCCTGAGGTCTGCCCTCATCCTAATGCTTGACTAGCAAGGCCTTAAGGGATCTCCCTGACACGAGTGTCAACTCTGGAAGCTGTTTTGGCAGGTCAGTTTGCAGCTGTCTGCATCTGGCTGAAGCTTAGAAAGGAGACTTCCAGACACCTCTCAAGAAAAATGCAGACCCATCTTAGGCAAAACATATGCCACCAGAAAGGCAGAAGCTTGTTGCAACTCTTGACTGAGCAGAGCAGAACAAAGCTCTGGTCCTTCAAGCTTGCCTGCTTTGAGTTGCCCCTTCATGGCTGAGCTACAGTGGATAACCACCCAGGCCCTGCGCTGCAGTGCTGTACAGCTGTACTACATCCACTCTGCATATAGGAAAACTTTACAGGCATGAGCACAAAAATAGTACCTGTTTGGGATCCTTACCATTGATGTATTCCTATGTTGCTAGCTCCACCAGACATCCTGATGGTGTAAAGCTGTGTCTCACATACACTCCTACAAGGCAGCAACAGGCTCTGATGCTCTTTCTGTACCTGCAGTCAACCTGTGGAGAAGAGAACAGGCTGATCATTTCACAGCTGGAAACTGTCCGTGACTCCTACTACATGACACATATATCTCAGTAGCAATAGCCTCAAACCAGCCAACCTCCCTACCTACCTACTAACTCCTCCACAGGCCACCAGCTGTCAGGACCCTGAGGATGCTAGTACACTTTAGTGGTCCTAATCAGCCTCATCTGGAGCCTCCACTACTCCTGACTGTAGGACTGGGGCTCTACTTAAGCTCAGCCTGGGACTCTTGGTTCCTGTTATGCAGTGCTGTAGGAGTGCTGGTCTCCAACTTAGCTAAACTAAGCTATTCTTATGGTGGGCTATGGGCACTGATGATCTGGACCCTCTGCTGTTGATTGATGTCCTAGGTGTACCTCAGCCCTACCCCATTGTCATGGCCCTGTTTGTTCATTGTAAAGCTGTGCTTGACCCTGGTTGCCCCCTCTGGGCACTGGTACCTCTGGCCAAGTATTGAGTGGCTGGTCTCTGGCTGGGGAGGCTCCTGCCCTTGCAGGGGCAGCTGCTGTTGTTGTGCCCTGACACAGCCGGCGTGTTCAACCTTCTCTTCACCACCTTGCTTGCGCTCCTCTGAATGCTGAGTCAGCAAACTCAGGGCTGCTCTGGGTTCAGGAACTAAAGAGGTTTGTCAGAGCAAGAACCACACTACACTTGCTGCAGGGTTGTGTTAGGGATCCAGAAGCTGTTGATTGCTTCCAGGGTAATTCTGACCCTGATTGCTGCATCTGGAAGAGACAGCACTGCCTGAGAGGCTGCAGTGCCCCAGCACTGACAGAGACTGCTGTCTTGAAAGCAGGCTGAAATGAGCTGGATTAGTGCCGTAAATGTCTCAGTGGAGATGGCCCGACACTAAACAATTCTTGAAGCTCTGCCTTGGCATTAGATCCTAAAGGGAGGAGATTCTTCACCTTCTCCAGGTGCAGCACAAGCCAGGAAAAGGCCAAACAAACACAACCATGTGTCACTTCTCACAGTATCACAGTATGTTAGAGATTGGAAGGGACCTCAAAATATCATCTAGTCCAATCCCCCTGCTGGAGCAGGAACACCTAGATAAGGTTACACAGGAACGTGTCCAGGCGGGTTTTGAATGTCTCCAGAGAAGGAGATTCCACAACCTCCCTGGGCAGCCTGTTCCAGTGTTCCGTCACCCTCACTGAGAAGAAGTTTCTTCTCAGGTTTAAGTGGAACCTCTTGTGTTCCAGTTTGTACCCATTTCCCTTTGTCCTATCATTGTTTGCCACTGAGAAGAGCTTGGCTCCATCCTCTTGACACTCCCCCTTTATATATTTATATACACTAATAAGGTCACCCCTCAATCTCCTCTTCTCCAAACTATAGAGACCCAGCTCCCTCAGTCTTTCCTCATAAGGGAGATGCTCCACTCCCTTAATCATCTTAGTTGCCCTGCGCTGGACTCTCTCCAGCAGGTCCCTGTCCTTCTTAAACTGAGGGGCCCAGAACTGGACACAATATTCCAGATGAGGTCTCACCAGGGCCGAGTAGAGGGGAAGGAGGACCTCTCTCGACCTACTAACCACCCCCCTTCTAATACAACCCAGGATGCCATTGGACTTTTTGGCCACAAGGGCACAGTGTCGGCTCATGGTCACCCTGTCGTCCACCAGGACCCCCAGGTCCCTCTCCCCTACACTGCTCTCTAACAGGTCGTTCCCCAGCCTATACTGGAACCTGGGGTTGTTCCTGCCCAGATGCAGGACTCTACACTTTCCCTTGTTATATTTCATCAAGTTATTCCCCGCCCAGCTCTCCAGCCTGTCCAGGTCCCTCTGGATGGCAGCACAGCCTTCTGGCGTGTCGGCCACCCCTCCCAGCTTAGTGTCATCAGCAAACTTGCTGATAGTACACTCAATTCCCTCATCTAAATCGTTAATGAATATATTAAATAATACTGGTCCCAGTACCGACCCTTGAGGCACTCCACTAGATACAGGCCTCCAACTAGACTCCGCCCCATAGACTACAACTCTCTGGCTTCTCTCCTTCAGCCAGTTCACAGTCCACCTCACTACCCGATCATCCAGACCACACTTCCTCAATTTAGCTGCGAGGATGCTGTGGGAGACTGTGTCAAATGCTTTGCTAGTGCCTCCCAACCTCTTTGCAGTAACTGGAATCTGTCAGGGCTCTCAGCCCTCTTCTGAGCCCTGCTACCAGCAGGATGCCAGGGAAGTGATTCAGCCAGCCCAGCTGGATCAGACAAAACGAAAAAATATAAACAGAGGTTGGTGAGGGAGCAGGGCAGGTCCCGCTTGCCAGTCCAGCACACACGTTGTCAGGAAGGATAACAAGCAATCCACAGCACAGCTCCTCTGAACAAGAACTCAGCACAAGCAGGGGCTCCCAGCCAGGTCTGTTTTGGCACAGTGAAGGGCAGCTGTAATTGAGCGTTGCAATGCCTTGCTCGCTGGTGCTCCCTCACCTCCTATCCAGACCAAGACCACTATTCCGAAAAGCCTCCCTGTAGCCAGTTTCAGTCACAGTCAGGAGCAATGTTAAGGGGCTCCCTGCCAGATGTTACACTTTTATTTCACAGAGGGAACTCAAGAACAGAGTGAGCACAGGGCTGAAACCTCCTGAAGGCAAAATGAATCCTCCCAGTCTAGAAGCAGTATCAGCACTCCCAGAGCTTTCTGCGCCCCCCACTGCAGAGGAAGGAAGCATTGTCCCAGGCCATGGCTGGGGGCATTCTCAGCTCCTTTAGAAAACTGAAAATTCCTGCCTCACTTGTCCTTCTGTAAATGAGGAAAGTGCTGTGCTACTGGGAGCCACTGGGACTCTCAGGGTCTACACATCCAGGGGCAGACAGGTAACATGGGTAGCTACCACCAGAGGACAGGCAATAGGGTAAGAAGACCTTTTCCCATTGGGGGATGCCTCCACACTGGGAGGGAAAGAACACACAAGGTTGCATAGACAGGTCATTGCTTTCCAGGGAACCCGGGACTTGTTCCAGGGAATCTGGGGCCAGGGATGTGGGACTCCTTCACTGGGCACTGCTTTTTTTGGCAAGTGGATCTTTTTATAGTGCCTGTTGCCAGCAGTGATCCACAGTTTGATGCTGCGCAAGGCGGCAGGGCTCGGATCCGAGCCAGGGATGGGGTCACCCATCCAGGGCTGGTGTGGGCAGTACGAGTGCCGTACTGATGGGGTACGGGGCTGCACCCCAGACCGGCAGCGGGGAGGAGAGCAGAGGGGAAACAGCAGCATCTGGTTCTGCCGAGTCGTTATGGCAACTGCGCCGACAGGAGCCCGGGCCGCTTCTCGGCAGGGGCTGCCGGCAAGGGGCGGACCCCGCACCCCCGGGCTACGGGGACAGGCGGGGCACCGGTGGGGGAGCAAAGAGCGAGGAGGCGGTTGGCAGGGTGGGGGGATGCAGGCCGGGTGAGCGAGCTACAGCAAGCAGTGCCGTCCCACCCCAGACCGGCGGGAGGGGCAGGGGGCAAGGGGAGGCAGGCCTGTAGGGGCGGCTGCCGGTCGGGGGTGCTGTGAGAACTGAGCCTCGGGGACCGGCTCTTCCCGGGGGTACCTCTGCGGGCGCGGAGTGGGAGGCGGAGCCAGCTGTGAGAGCAGCGGGACCGGGTAGGGTGCTGGGGGCCTGGCCGGGCGGGGCCGGGGCATCTGTCGGGGCCGGGGGTTGGTGCCGTCGCTCACCGGCAGCAGCGGGTCCCGGCTCCGCGTGGTGCTGAACGGACAGCGCCGCCGCGGTGCGCATGCGCCAATCCTCCTGCAGCGGGCAGGGACGTGCGCTGGGGACCGAGCAACCGGGGCAGCCGGTGTGCACCAGGGAGCCGGGGAGCCGCGGGGCTGGAGCGACTGGTGTACACCGGGGAACTGGTGTGCGCGGGGGAACTGGGATAACTGAGGGACTGGGAGTGGTGGTGTGCACAGGGAAGCGGGTGTCCCCGGGGAGCTGCTGTACCGGGGCTGGTGTGAGAGCCCTGCCGCTGCAGCAGCCTGCGGGAGCCGCTGCGGCACTGGTGGGACCTGTGACCGCCGGCGCGCCCGCAGGGCCGGAGTCGCTCTACTCCGCGCAGTGCCCCGGCCTGTTAGGGCCGAGCCCTCCTCGCCGCCCCGAGCGCTGCCGCTGTGCAAGGTCTCCGGCGGCGCCCCGGTAACGCGCTCGCTGCTGCCAGCCGAGGTAACGGGGCGGGGCCGGGGGCGGGGCGGCCGGGCAGGCGTACTTCCGCCCGCCGGCGTGACGTTACGGCTGGACGCCGGCGTCTGGGTGAGGTGCAGCCGGATGGAGGGGCCGGGGCAGCGGCAGCGCCGGGTCGCGGCAGGTACCGGGCTAGGGGCGCTAAGGCAGGGCAGTCTCATCGCCATGGGACCCTGCGGCAGCGGGGCGCCGGAGGGTGGGTGTGCAGGCCGTGATGGGGCTCCTGCGGCTCCCTCGCTTTGGCGGCGGGGCGGCAGCCCAGGAGCTGCGCCGTTCACGGGGTGAGCGAGGGGCGGTGGGGTAGGAATGGCTGAGCGGGAGTGTCCTCCTCCCCTCCCCCTCATCTGCGGGTTCTGCTGGGGTCGTGTCAAACCGCAGCTCGGGAGGCTCCGGGCTGCCGGGACCCCTCTGCTCCCTCCTCGGTTCCTGCCCCTTCTCTGGGTACCCGAGGCTGTCGCCTCATCGGAGGGAGACCGCTTTCGGGGGGTCCGGAGCGTTGTTGCTTTCCCCTCAAAAGGGTCCGAGTGGCTCGGCAGCTAGGGAACGACCTGCCAGGTGGAGCGATGCTTAGCCGTGGAAGGGAGGCACAGCTGCTGTGTAGGTGATGCGGTAATGCTGCAGCAGTCGCTTGCTGCTTCGCTGAGGGACAGGAACACCTCAAGAGGCTGGTGGGAAGTCCCTGCCCCGAAGGCAGTGCAGTCAGATGAACTCGGATGCCTGAGCAGTGAACATCCCGGGCTGGGGAGGAGGTGATGCAGGTGGCAGGTGCCTGACCTGATGATGG